GATACTGGGTACAGGATACTGGGTACAGGATACTGGGAATAGGATACTGGGTACAGGATACTGGAACATCTTCTTGAATAAGCAATCAAATAAGTACTTATGGAACATATTCTAAAATAAACACTTCTTGGACATATCTCGAAAATTATGAATGAATTTTGATTGTCAATTGAAACATTAATCAATCTAATATTATTTAGAATGCAGAAAATAAATTAAACTAACTACATTTTGACGAGAATTTTTTTTTAATTTTCATGAAAATTTGCTGAAATGAGTGAAAATTAAAAAAAACGGTGTATTTTCCAGGATAAAAATTCGTACAATCCGTACAATTTGAAAAAACAAATCCGTACAATCCGTACAATTTTAGGGTTAAAAAAAACAATCCGTACATTTTGGCCACCCTGTAATCAGTATCCTTATAATTGTCATTGTCATTCTCATTGTCATAATCAGTATCCTTATAATTGCCATTGTCATTTTTATTCTCATTGTCATAATCAGTATCCTTATAATTTTCATTGTCATTGTCATAATCATTATCCATTAATTGTCATTGTCATTTCATTGTCATTGTTATTGTCATTGTTATTGTCATTGCCATTCTCATTGTCATTCTCATTATCCTTATAATTGTCATTGTCATAATCATAATCCTTATAATTGTCACTGTCATTCTCATTCTCATTGTAATAATCATTATCTTTATAATTGTCATTGTCATTCGCATTCTCATCGTCTGAATATTGTCATTTTTATTCTCTTTCTCATGACATAATCATTATCCTTATAATTGTCACTGTCATTCTCATTCTCATTGTAATAATCATTATCTTTATAATTGTCATTGTCATTCGCATTCTCATCGTCTGAATATTGTCATAATCATAATCCTTAAAATGGTCATTCTCATTCTCATTGTCATAATCATACTTATAATTGTCATTTTCATTCTCATTCTCATTAACATAATCATAATCCTTATAATTGGCATTGTCATTCTCATTGTCATTGACATTGTCATTGTTATTATCATTATCATCATATTCCATATTAATCATTACATTGTCGGAGACGAAAAAACTTATGAATGGGTGTTGCGGGATTAAATTTATACTTATTATTACTCTCAAAATAACTAACCTTGTTAATGCTGAACCCAGAGCCGGAGGTAGAACTTGATCCTGAATTAACAAAGGGCGGATTTTGGACTGATTTACTTATGGAGGACGAATCTTGGACTGATTTACTCAGGGAGGACGGATTTTGGACTGGTTTACTCAGGAAGGACGGGTCTTGCACAGATTTACTCATGGAGGACGGATATTGTGAAATATGGTTGGTTGGAGCAGAGGTTTTGTTTGTGTTCACACTACTGGGTGTAGGTGAACCTCGAGTTCTACTGTCTCCAAAAGTACCCGGAGAAAAAGTAGAGGTGTTCAACCCTGAGACAGGTTGCAAGGACTCAGGAGCAAGAACCTGGGACCTCAGGCTCTGGTTGAAACCCTTAGGTGGGAGCACTTGAGACGATGACCTAGATTACGAAGGGTTGATCATCAGACTTGAGGCTTGGGAACTGTTTTTATACATATACATAATATAAAGCTCTGATAATTAGGGTACGTTAACATGTCATGCAGTATTAATAGTTTGAAGAATTAAATGTATAGAAATAAAATAAAATAGATTTGATGACGAGTAAATAGTTCCTTTCTTGAACAGGAGGATACTGACCTTATATTTGAACACTTGTTAAAATTGCAGTGCACTGAGATAAACCAAAATAAAACACTGTTTCCAATGAGATTAGGGATGTTAAAATTAATAATGCAGAAAAGGGAATGAAGTGGGAAAAACCAGAGAAAAAAATCAAAGATAGAGACAAAATATTAATTTTAAAATTTCAAAAAGGTTTCTGTAAATTAAAGATATAATAAACTAGAAACCTTTCCTACATTTAGAAATCATTTAATCTTAATATTTAATATTTATAGATTGAATCATACAAGTATTTTTTTGTTTTAGTTCCTATAGCAAGATATATCCCAGTGGCTTGGACAGCTATTCTTCCCTTTCTCTCCAGGTATAACAGGATTGATGAGAAACCCTGTAAGAGACAAAAGTTAAAATTCCTACTTGCTTGTTAGAGAGGCACAGCTATAGGAACGGCTGAACCAAGATCGGATTACATTAGGTGAACTGTAATTTTTTTACATAAAAGGATTATTTCTAAAATTACTAGAAATGGTATATTTATTTTCAAAATCATTTCCACCCCAAAACAAAATGAAATTTTAAAAAATTCTACAAAAAGATATTTCAAAGGATCTTTTATTATTAGATTTGAGGTGATTTCTCATTAAATATGTTGTATACCCCCCCCCCCTTCTAATAAAGCAACCTCCCGTTACTCTTATTCTATTCCATCGTAACCTTACCATGTGAAGGTGCTATTTTTAAAAGTATGGTCGGGGTTTAGTAGAATACGGGAGGACGGGATCAGATTTTCTTAGGTTAAGTTAGAAATAAAATTCTAATAAATCTGACCTTTCCAACTTCTTGGGTTTTTCCACTTTTTGGTCTTACTAGAAGATTATCATCAGAATCCAACATATTCATATCCTAAATAAAAAAAATCATAAAATGACAATAAAAATAATATTAATATTAATTGAAGTATGCGTAGGAAGAAAGTGTAAGAATAAAATTTATTGAAATGATATGAAAGAAACTTTTGATTGTTATGATTATTCAATTCGTTTGAAGATTCTGAGGATTTCCATTGTCAGAATTCCGCCTTAATAATGACAAATGGGAAAAGAAAGGTTTGGCTAGGAGTGGATATTTTTGACAAAAGAATATTTGATTCTTGTAGGTTCATCTCTGACACAGTGCTTCAGAAAACGGCCTTGTCTACAGCAATCTTTTCCTTGCAGCTGGCAGAGTATAAACCAGTATCATAGTGCATGGTGCACAACCATTCAAGATTCTACTTTCTATGTTTCCATTTTCATTGTTTCTGGCAAGAGGGAAGGGGAAGAGAGAGAGAGAGAAACCCCTCCTTCTCTGCACTATTATATTCTTTATTTTTTTCCAAGTAGGGTGTACTGCCATGTTATTCCACACAGGATTCTGTTAATGGAGAGATTTGTATAAGAACCTGACTGTTCTGAGCTCCCTTTATGCTTACATATAGAACCAGATTCAATCAAAAGAATTAAGGTCTTTCTGACTTTGGATACTTAATTACAGCTAACAAGACTTTTTATTAAGGAGTATATTTAAAGCTGTCAGTAGCAAAATCTGGATCCGACTAGGTAAACCTCCATTCTCCTGGTTAATACAGCATTAAAAGATTAGTGCAGGCCTTCAATGTTTCTTGTAGTTCTGTTTATTTCTTCTCCATTTGTGTGCAGAAGTGTAAACGGGGGATATACACCCCTGGCTAAAGTTTCTCTACTTTGCCATATTCTCTCTCTCACTCTGTATCTCTGAGTATTTTTAGAAGAGCCAATTGCTGCTGCTCTGAAAGCTAGATGTACAGTGTACACTGACTACCCTCAGGTACAAATTTTAAAAAATCTGAATTTTGGGGATTTACTTTTAGGTTCAAATGTTCACTCTGTGCGGAGTTTCAAATTCTCACAAAAAATTGGTTTTTCATCATAGACCTTTTTCATGGTTAAAGTTAAGTAAACTACCAAATTTGAGCCCGTCACTAATCCTTGAAGTACCTGGTCTGGATTCCAAATTTGAGTACTTCCTCCACAAAGTGTAATTGGTAAATCCATCTCAGTTCTCTGCGCTTCAGCAAGAAAAAGAAATAATTTACCCTGAACAGAAAACACAGAAGCCATTAATAATCAGTTGAAAATGATCAGTTCTCATCAAAATCCGAGAATATCCTACAGAAAATCCACAAGTTCACAACTGGTTAAATTTTGTTGCATTTCAAAGCATCACAAACTTTACTTTTTAAGCTAAATTTTTTAATGAGTTTTGACAAACTTCACAAAATGTAAATTTTAAGTATGGTACAAAAAATCCTTCAGATAGATAAAAAAATTGCAATACTTTTTAAAGTTGTTTAATTATTACAAAAACTGCAAACCTTAAAAAGAGATTTCCGATTTAGGTTCCTCCTGTAGGAATACAATAATCTTAACGAAGATCTCGAAAGTTTCAAATACCAACAGAGGCTTATTTCCTTACTTGTGGCATCTTTAAAAAAACAATGTCAACAAGCTCAACAATGTCACATCATTAATGTCCTAGAGTAAAGTTTTAATTAGTAAAGGTTAAGGCTCCATTTCAAGTTTTTAAAAGTTTTTTTTTCCGTGAAGAGCTTTAACAAAGGCTCAGTAGAATCTACAAAAATTAACCTAATGATCTGGAAAAATGTAAACCCAAGTGTTATTGTGATGATATTGCTATCCGCAATAAAAGGCTTCAAAGGTGCGCCACTATTTCTCGCAATACAGTTAGTTCTTACATGTTTCAAATTAACAACAACCATGTGTTTAAATAAACTGTAGGAAAATGTTATGTCAACCAGCTTTAAACGTGTCCTGGGGTTTATGTGATTTACCAAAAAAAAATAAGGCTTTATCGATTCAGCTGTTCTGCCCTTTAATGGAAACCACATCAGATTATTGTATATTCCTAAGATTTACTCCAGGATTACGAAGCATATTCTCAGATTCCGAGCTAGACACTGCAGGCAAATAATTATCAGCATCCGGTAACCTGAACACAGGGTTAAGATTATTTGATGCTGTTGTGGGAAGAAAATAGATTAGACATATGATATACTGGTTCTTCCATATTGNAGTTTTTAGAAGGGGCCTGAGGAAATAGAGTTTCGAGAGAATTATTTAAAGAAAATTTATTTAATGCATTCCAGGGATTTTAAAAATCTAGATTGGAACCAACAAATCTTGTCATATAAATTATCAAATAAAAACAATAGATGGTTTATTTTGTTTTCTTGGTTTAATGGACAAAAATTATCTAACATTAATTTTGATTTTTTTTGCAAAAGGCCTCCAGTTCTGAAGCGTTGACCAATAGTTAAATTAAAAGGCCTTGAATCTTGTAGCATGATAAAATATCATTTTAAAATGTTATTTAATTAATGAAAAGTTTTGCAAGAAATAATATTATTTCTCATTTAAAATTGTAAAAAGAGAATGTCAGAAACTGAATTATTGAACATGATGATGTTCATATTGATTAAAGTTAGATACTATCATGTTATCCAGAGGGCAAAACTTCAAAGAAATTTTCCGGGTTTCCCAAACCAAACCTGGCCACGAAATCGGGTAAGCTCTCTTAAGTCTGGGTTTGGGGTTTGGTAAGGGTTCCGGGAAACTCATACTATGTGAACTCTATTTTGATACTCTAATTGAAACCCTAGTCTGGAGAAACGTCAGGAAACACAGTTTTCTAGTAAATTTGGAGCAAAACTAACGAATACGTATACTCCTAGAAAGGGTCGGGGGCGGTAAAAAATTGGCCCTAGGACCACCAAGGAGGTGGGCAGTAATAACTACTCCTAGAACCTCCTTAAGGAATGGGGTTAAAAACTAGTTTTAGGACCTACTAAGGCCGTGGGGGGGGGGGGGAATAAACCTTAGAACCCCCTAGAGGGGGAGGGGATTAAGAATTATTCCAAAGATTATTAAAAAATTAACCCGGGTATCGTAGCGAGTTTCCTGGTTTTCTTAAGTTTCAGGGGTGTATATTAGTTCTGAGACTCATATTTTTGCCCCCCCCCCTTTAGAATCATATTTTTTCCCAAAATCCACAACTTAAAAACAGGTTTATTACATCTCTCCCACCTTTCCTTCTTTCTTCCCCCTTGTCTATTCCTTTTTGTCCCTTCCCTCTTCCCCTTTTCCTTTCCCTCTTCCTCTTTTCCCTCTTCCTCTTTTCCCTTCCCTCATCCCTCTTTTCTCTTTCCTCTTCCCTTTTCCCTTTCTTTTTCCCTTTCTTTTTCCCTTTCCTTTTCCTTTTCCTTTTCCTTTTCCCTTTCCCCTTTCCCCTTTCCCCTTTCCCTTTTCCCCTTCCCTTCCCTTTTTTTCTTAATTTTTCCCCCCAAACCTAATGAAAGCTCATTTTAGAAAAATACAGAAAAATATACGCCCCTGTGTTATACGGGATTGATTTCTAATTTCTAATTTCCGATTCTCAATCTAAAAATGAAATGTATTCCAAGCAAAGATTACCTCTGTTTACTTTTAACACAAGCAATGAAATCTCTAAAGTATTCTGGAGTTACTATAGGGACACAATTAGCAAGACAATTCGCAACCTGCCAAAAAAAAATAATGCTGATAATGATGATAGTAATAATAATAATGATCACAATTATAAAAATATTAAATAATGATTATAATAATAATAATATTCAATAACGATTACAATAATATAATAATTAGAATCCTACCTTCGGGGAAAGTTGAATAGCTGTCATTACAAGATGTGTGGTAGTTTCACTCCACCTTTTCAATTATCAATGAAAAAAGGCGCAATAAATGAGAGGGGAAAATAACTCTGACCCACCCTCCCCCCCAAAAAAATTTAAAAGTGGTTCAGATGATCAGTTTAGTTTGTTGATAATTTATTCCTGGGTTGAATTTTAGTGTTATCAATCTCCTTCAACCAATTGTTGACAGAGCTAGGGTCCTTTAGCATTGAGCTGATCACTTCCAACTTCAGCCAACGTAGTCTTAACCAAAAGTTTATTATTGAACAATGAACATATCTGTTCAGAATATACAAAGTTTATTATTGAACAATGAACATATCTTTCAAGAATATACAAAGTTTATAATTGAACAATGAACATTTCTGTCAAGAATATTAAAAGTTCATTATCAAACAATTAACATATCTGTCAAGAATATTAAAAGTTCATTATCAAACAATTAACATATCTGTCAAGAATATTAAAAGTTCATTATCAAACAAGGAACATATCTGTCAAGAAAATTAAAAGTTTTTTATTGAATAAACGAGTCTAATAATTCGATTTAAGAATAAATCAGGCTAATCTAATTTTTAATCTATGAGTACCTTAAGATAAATAAAAAGATATATCTATACAGTATTTAATCTTAGGTATTGGTAACCTGCAGATGGAAAAATCTATATAGTATTTTATTTATCGTAACCTGCAGATTGAAAGATCTATTTAGTATTTCATCTATGGTAACTTGCAGTTGGAAAGATCTATTTAGTATTTAATCTATGGTAACTTGCAGATGGAAAGATCTATAAAGTATACAATCTTGATAACCTGCAGATGGAATGACCGGTACCGAACCGAATTCGATCATTATCCTTGAGCTCTACAGGTTTAGACAGTGCTCTCCCAGTTTCCTTACTAAACATCAACAGTTAAAGGGACTGTAAGCGTAATTACAATTGAATGTCCATGCAAATATGGCAATGCCCGATTCACAACGGTTCCCTTGAAACCTTTATCTGATCAATTAAGCGGAATATATTGTCGCATTTCTGCAGTACCAATGATCAAGTCACTTTTGTAGAGAATTCCCAGCAATTGAAAATATTTGTTTCATTTTACAATAAACATGATAGGGAGTGTAAGTGTAATTTAAAGTGACCCCCCTGAAAAGATGGTAATGTCTGATTCACAGCGGTATCTTTAAAACCTTTATTGGATCAATACTGCGGCAGATATTGTCGATTTCTAAATTGATCAGTGTTGAATTCTGTTAATTCCTGTATGTTGTCTTTCAACGGAAAATCGCAGGTCACTTTTGTAGAGAACCCACAATTTGAAATAGAAAATAACCAGATTTCAAAATTATAAACTTTGATATCTGAGGCTTAATTTTAAGAATTTGAGCTGCGGCCTAAATTTGAGACGAGGCTCAAATATGGTTAGTTTCACTTAAAATTGTATTCAATGCTTCAAGATTTAGCATCAATTGAAACCGGTTTTTGGCGGATTTAAGACGCGGCACAAATTCATTAAATTTAAACACTGGTTCATACTTTTACACTTACAGACCAAGGTTTAAAGGATACTATTACAAATCAGGCATTGTCATCGTTGCATGGAGGGTCATTTAAAATTACGATTACAGGCCATTTAAGAACTTTTGTTAGAATAAGAAGAATAAGTTTGTTTTTTAATTCATAAATCATCATCGCCACTTGAATGAGATAATACAAGAATTCGTCAAGGGGAGGGGGCTCAAACTTTGCCACTTTTCAAGGAGATAACCTTGAATTTGATTGAAAATGTCTCTGTAATAAGGTCCTTTTCGTATAAAACTAAAATCCTTAACTTTTTCAATATTTTTTAACAAGATATTACTACTTTCACAGTTTACTAACTCATGTTTGTTAACATTAGATCGGCTGCCTTTGTTATTGTTGTTATTCAAAAACTAGTTCTTCAGCAGTCCAAAAACGTCACAGCAAAGTGTACGGAAACCCTATCGGCCCCTCCTTCTATTCAAAATCTCCTTGGTAAGGACTAAATTTTAAAAAAATTTGAGCACAAAAAGAATAGCGCTATGAAAGATAAGCTTTATAATACAAGATTGACCCCTAAGGATGATACTTGAATTAGATTTCTTAACAGTTTATTGATAGTATTTTGAAGAAATTGGCGAATAAAGAAATTAATTACAATTGAAAAAAAACCGTAAATAAAAACTGAATTTCGAACAGTCATCTGTGAAGTCTCATCCTTTGTATAACCCTGCATACAGTCCAAAAGATCAATTTTATTTTGATACAGATTATAACTTCTGTAAAAAAATGGATCCGGAACCAACTCAAAAATAATTCTTAAAGTTTGCTAATTTCTTTTGCGAAAAAACAATATTCAAAACTTTTTTCCGCAAATTTGTATGAAGAAACTTGTTAGACCATTAAATTAATACGAATGACAATTCGTTTTATTTTTATGTTTTTGTTGAAATCTTGCTTCTTAAGATTAAGATCCTATGCACTACTCCTTTTTACCTGGTTCAGCATCTGCCTTAGTGAAGACCTGTATTTTAGCATGGGTTTGATTGACCGACTTGTCACTAGCCAGAGATATATTACAGGTGCTTGTTCTACCAACCATATACACTTCATCTTTAAAACAAACTCATTAAGATCTTAGAAATACGTAATACATTTCAGCCACTCAATCTTAAATTAAAGAATCGCGTATTTTTTAAAAACATTCTTTAGGAATAAAATTATTTTTCTTAACGATTCAAATTCTTCCATAAAGTCTTACATTACGTTGACATAGTCTCCATCGAATTCCGATTTTACATAAACCCCATTAATTTTAATCTTTACAAAGTGTTGAAAATTAAATATTCAATTCTGCTGTTTTAATGACTATCGACATACGCAAATAAATCTTTTGAAAATAACCCTTTACGTGGGATGATGAAATTTTTAAGAGTTTATTTTGATTTGACATAATTCTATGGATACCTTGAAAGTCTTACGGCCTAAAGCCTATGAGATTCTAGTGAGTCAGTTGTCCCAAATAGCGGTATTTACAGTGATTCACAATATGGAGTTTAGATGATAAAAACTGATTTAAAAATTACCACGAATTACCCCGAAACTTTATTGTCACCCGAAAATCTTTGAATTCCAACCCCTAAGTTTCAATTTCACACTCAGGTAAAATGACCTTTAATCAGGGTTTCCAGATTTTTCAAGAAAAGATAAACTGCAGACTCTATATCTAATATCTTATATATATATTTCTAAAATTTGTAATCTCTGTTTGCCCGACCATAACTCAGAAACCCCTGGACCTATTTGGTTGAGGAACTCTTATTGAACCACGGAAATGTTCTCAGCTTGGTTTTGAGATTCTAAGATGAGTGGTTTGATTTATATCGGTAAAAATAGCTAAAATCGTACGACCAAGTGCGAAGTAACCCTAGTCAACGATGGATTTCCAAAGCAGTATAATAAATAAAGTAGTAATCTTTTCTTTTATGTTCGATCAGAACTCGTGAAACCCTAAACCGTTTTGGCCAAAATTTTGATTAAGAAACTCGGAAGAACCACAGGAATGTTTTTAGCTTGGTTAAAAGTTTTAAATTGTGCGGGTTGACTTTATCTAGAAAATTTAGCTTCCAGACAAAGCTGGGTTCCGAAGCTATAAATAATATTTTACTTGGTACTAAAGCCCATTTCTGGTCTGCAGAGTGAAGAGTGGGGGGTCCTGTAACGTTTTCCAGCAGTAGATACCACATAGTTCATTTACCTGAAAACACAAGAAAATATTTGATTTATTAATTTGTGTATCACAAGGGGATCATCTGTAGACATAACTTCATAGAAATATTATTATAATAAAAATTTTTAAAGGCTTCATCACATCTTAATGGAAACAATTATAAACATGGAAATAATGTTAATACGTTCCAAACACATTCAATATTACAACGTTTCAACCGTTTAAATTTAATTCTTTACTTCGAACAAAAATAAATAATTTATAATTTAAACAAAAGTTTTAAAAAGTGACCACTTAGAGGATAAACGTTTACTTCTTGCACAACAAACGCTAATAATCATGAAAGTACAGTGTACACTGTACACAAATATGTACATTGAAAACTGGATTTTTTTTCGGCTTCTCTTTTATAATAAAATAAGATTTTCGTATATATGTTCCCTGTAGCCGGCCAAAAATCGAAAAAAAAATTAATATTTTTATTCCACGGGCAACGCCGGGCTCTTCAGCTAGTGTTATTGGGGATGCAGTTCTTCAGTATCATTGAACGTTTCGTTGCCATTTACAGTGTACACTCAGTACAGGAAGTACTTCTCTTAAAAATTTAGGATGGTTAAACAAAAAAAATGCATTTTACAGATTATAAACTTTCAAGAAGACCATTTTAAATTTAACAGCATACACTACTACTTCCTAGCACTTTAACCCTGGAATTTTACAATGAGAAAAGTTGTTAAATGCATCTGAAATATATGTCGCAAACATATTTACTAAAAAGTTCCCTGTGCAGAACAAAACTCAAAGGTGTGCAGTGAAAAAAAATGATTCAGTTTGCAGATACAGTGCGTCCCACATTATATATGATTTACGCACATATTACTAGAAAAACCTAGTATTTACTTTTTGAAAATTTTTACATTAGCCTTATACAATTTATCAAATGATTTACTTTTCTTAAATTTTCTGATTAGTCCCGCAAATTAACAATCCATATGATGTGGGACACCCTGCAGGTCAATATGATGTGGGACACCCTGTATTTTAATATACAGTGGGACACCCTATATGTTAATACAAAGTGGGACATTCTAGCTCTGCAAAAAACGGTCAAGTTCAGTGCATACATTAATCCACTAATTGTTTACTGGTTTAAGGATTATGTTCATTAATTTAGATCTGGTTTGAGGGAGATTTATAAAAATATTTTTTTTATCTAAAATCTGAAATAAAATTTTTTACTTCAATTTTTTTGGATTTCTCTTGTCAAGAAGTTGGTATTGGAATGGTTGTAGACTCCAAGAAGAGCTTTATGTAAGATATTTTATGCACGAAATTCTTGATCCCAGCTCAATGATAGACTGATTAATTGATTGCTATGAGCTCGGGAATGATATCGTCTAATTGATTAATTGATCAAATCTCAGTTCCCAGTTGTTTGATCTGCTCCAGAAATTGATCAGCAGAGCAGAGTTGAGTACATCCATACACTACCCTCTTCCCAGAAACTGGGTTCCCTTCAAACAAAAAAATATATAAATTGTTACGACCAAAATTTACATTTTTACTTTTCTCCATGAAATCAAAAGCGTAAACTCAATTAAAATTCAGGGTTAAAATGTAGTGCAATTGTCACAAAATTGCAAGTCTATCTTAATAAGAACTTTTTTTAGGGTAACGTCCAATAAAAAACGCCCAGAAACATAACGCCAAAAGCCGGCCAAAAACAGATGGCTCAATGCAACAAAACGCCCAAAGCAACAAAACGCCCTATGTTACAAAACGCCCTGTTACAAAACGCCCAGTGTAACTAAAAGGCCCAAAATAAAAAAACGCTAAATATCGAAAAAAGGCGAAATAAAAAATCAAAATTTTGGGAGTTAACATTTTAGGGTTAAGGCTAGGTTAAGACAGTTTAATTGTTGTAATATTTTCTTTACAGTTTGCCATGCTAACAGTAATTTCTCCAGTGTAAATCAAGCTGCAGACAAGAAAAAATATTTTTAGAACTCACAAAGCAAAACTCTTATAAAGAATTTTCTGGTAATTGTTCAACTGATCCAAAAATAGTTCATCTTGATAAAAATAAAAATTGAAATTGAAATTCGACTTCATTGTTTTAATATTATCTATATTCTTGCTGTTCAAAAATTTGTGTGTTTGCCCTTGCTTATCAATTATAGGCATCCTTCTTTCAGCAAATCCAGGAGGAAGTAGCAATATCCGGCACATTTGATTTAATTCTTTCTATATTCATATTCTATAGTATCACCTAGAATACGATCTATTTTATTAGATTTGATTACAGCGAGCCATGCTTCCGTGAGACTTCAGAAAACTAACCTTGAGGAATTTCAACCGAAAAATTCCGAATTTTCTTCAACACAAGAATTTGGACGTTTTATAATTGGGGGTTTTGAAATATTGGGCGTTTTGTTTAGCGCGTTTTGTAACATTGGGCGTTGTGTTATTAGGCGTTTAGTACCCATTCCCTTTTTTTCAATAATTGTTTAGAAAAATAATCCGTCTGTACTCTGTACATAAAACGTACCTGCATTCTTTCCTTTCACATAATCTGTTAGATTCTGATATTCAATATAGTTCCCTCCTCCGACCACAAATAAGATGGCGTCGTTGAAAGTCGTCTTTGTCCTTAAACACGAGTATGTTTACTGGATAAAAAATTGCGTTGATCCGTTTCATTTGTTTAAACTAAACAAGCGCTGACGTAATAAATTAAACATCCAACCTAGATAAAGAAAATTAAGAGTTGATTATAGAATGTAAAAAAAGAGGAGTATCAAACTAAAGCTTTGATAAATAAAAACGAAATTAAAAATAAATTAAATTTTTTTTTTATCACTAAATTAAAGAATAATAATTTATTTTGATAGAGTTCAACCGAAATAAAATTGTGAATGTAAGGCGATGAAATCAGAACCTTCGAAATAAATAAGTTAGCTCAGAATCAGTGCTACTGCATAGTTTCCATTTAATTTTAATTCGGATCCGGATCCTGGATCCGCACTTGAAGAAAATGGATTTTCTCCTTTTTTTCTTATTTTTATTTTAAAACTTGATAAACCATTTAGCGGTTAGCATTTTTTTGATAATCATCTGCTGTTTTAAACATTTCAGATTCGAGATATGAGTTCCCAGGGTACTCATAGTTGCTCACGCCGTTTACCCGCACTTGGTCGGTTTTACCGGGAGACAAAATTTTAGCTTTTATTTAGTCGATCAACTCAACTTTGAGTCCCTGAAAACCAACGAAAGAACATTCCCATGGGCCTTCCAAGTTCCCCAATCAAAATTTGAGGCAAATCGGTCAAGGGGTTCCTAAGTTAATATCTGACAAACAACATACAGGCACCCAAACAGAGATTAAAAGACTAGCTTGGGAAACCATAGCTGGTTACTAAAAGTTACTACCACCGTTTACCCGCACTACAAGGATTTTACCAAGAAACAAAATTTTTGCTATTAAAGTCGACTTACTCAATTTAAAATCTGAAAACCAAGCTAAGAACATTCCCGTTGGTCTCACGAGTTCCCAAATCAAAATGTTGGGCAAATCGGTCTAGGGGTTCCTGAGTTATGATCGGAAACAAACAAACAGACAAACAGAGTTTACAACATTATATATTTAGATACCTTGGTATTGAATCTCCACCTCTCAATATCTTCGGATCCAGATATCTATACTCATCATTATATCTTCCTGTCTTCTGTTCCATTATATCATCTACAATCTAGACAATATATATACATCATTATACCGTCCTGTCTTCTGTTCCATTATATCATCTACAATATAGACAATAAAGTCATCATTAAATAGTCCTGTCTTTTATATTAAAATGAAAGAAGTGAAAATTATCGTTAAAAAAAAACGTATAAAATTTATCAACAACAGAATTGTTTTTCACATAATTCCTGTTAGAGTGGTTTCTTAGTGGTTACCTTAGTAACAGGTAGATCATGCTTCTTGACGACCAGGTTCTTGACTCCTTCCATCACGAAGTTGCTGGACTTCTCCATCAGTTTACTGAACATAGACACAGACTTCGTTGTCGTCATTCCTGGAGCCTGTAAGTAATAACATTTTCAAATCAAATTATAAATGCGAGGATTTGCTGACAGCTTCCAAGTTTTATCCTTAATGAACCTGTGGCCGAATTTAAAGAATTTGAGCGGCGGTTTAAATTTAAGCCGCGGTTTAAATATGGTTGGTTCCACTTAAAATTGTACCAAATGTTTCAAGATTTAAGCCGGCGCTTAATTTAAACCGGGTTTTGGCGGATTTAAACCGCGGCTCAAATTCTTTAAATTCCATCTCAGATATTTTAAAAATTGATATTTCCTGAAAAGGACCGTTATTGTAATTTTTATGACTCTCCATTCACATCGGTATCCTTAAACCCTTAATCTGATCAATAATGTGGAAGACAACATCGTTTTCTAATTTGTTAAGTATTTAATTCTAATAATTTCTTAATTGTTTCTGAAGCACAAAATGCGCAAGTCACTTTTTTAGAGGAACCAAAACTGAAAATAATTAGTTTTCAAAAATAAAACATGAATAGGACATGTCACTTTCAATGGAGGGTTAAATGAAATCACATATAAATCGCTAGGAAACGATTAAATTAAAATATTTAGATATTTTAATTCCAGTAGCACATTCTTCGAATCAAAAATATAAAACAATGTTCCATATACGCAAGGTACTACTAATGCAAGGAAAGTTAATTTCGGTCGAGTATACTCTGCGTACCAATTGAAACCAGTTCTCTCCGGGGTGACTTTGTAAACAAGAATAGATGCATCAGTCTTCGTTTAGTATTCGAGGAGGTTAAAAGCATTTAATTTTGATAATTTTGAAAATTCACATAATAGTTTCCTTTGACCAGAATATTTCATAGATTTTTTGTGTGAAAACGGATTCCCTGTCAGGCTGTGACATCCGTCTTGTGTTTACTTTTCCGTCCAAAGACAGTACACTGCAGTACAAAAAATGTGCACACCTCTGAAATAACTTGCCTTGCATTAGTACCTTGCATAATGCATATCCGTCGATAAATAGAATTTTATTTTGCGCCAAAAATGAAAAGAAAAATTTTCTACCTGGTTATAATCGAAATTTTTTGCTCCAATCATAGAAAAGCTACGGCATCTCTTAAGATATGTGAGTGCTGCAAGCTGACAACCTGAATTCTAAAAAAAGCAAACTTATCAAAATAAAATAAAAATAAAAAATGATAATAAGGTAAATATAAAAACAGAAAGATTTCCAAGATACTCAATAAATAACATGATCTTGCTTAGTTGAATGCTATAGGGAAGAGGAATGGGCCTAGTTGTCATTAATTAAAATTATTTCTTTTAAGAACAATAAAGTTCTTAAAATTCATTAAATTTTAATATTTATTTTTAATGATTTATTCACACACAAATATGTGCAATAGTATAGTTATAAGAATTTGAGTTGTTCAAAACTAAAATTTTCTAATTTCTTTATCTTTGCAGTGTCAACTGTCAACCTTTTAATACTTAAAACTTATACTAATTGATCAAACATATTTTATAGTCTGAATTGTCAAAGGTACCAACGACATCGGGTTGCAGAGATATAGGGATCAGAAATTCAGAATTTTGAACAGAAAATATTTCGTGAATATAGATTCCCAAAAAAAAATAATTAAAAAATGACCTGAAGAGTTGTGGTGTACTGGTCAAACTCTGCATCTGTGATTGTATTAGTACAGAGATAGTAAATCAAAAATAATCTGGGACACATTGCAATAAACAGCCAAAAAAATTAGGTAAAAAGACAGTTCACTAATTTCAGCTTGGAACGAACCTTCAAAAGTTGAAATGATCTTGATCAGTTGTTTATTTAAACAGTTCTGCGAGTCACAAATCAAGAAAAAATTGCTTTTAGTGTTTCATAAGATTATTGCTTAGCTTCCTAAGTTTATCATCCGGGGTCCCATTTTCAGGATCATTCAATATATCAATAATACTCCTAGAAAATAATTTATATTCAAGATACCAATAATACTCCTAGATAATAATATATATTCAAGATACCAATAATACTCCTAGATAATAATATATTCAATATATCAATAATACTCCTAGAGATCATAATAAATTCAATACTAGAAATTCAAGGCGCTTCGCACCCTTCTTTCTAAGCTTTTAGAGCGCTTTGCACCAATCTTCTATTTTAATTGTGATCATGTTCTTTTTGTTTACATTTTAAAACAAAGAAGAAGAAAATTTTGCGGATTTAAAAAAAAATCTTGGATTTTTAAGAATTTAATTTTTTTTAACAAAATTAAAAACCTTTAATACACATTTTTTTATCATTCATAAACCTTCCCTATGGTCACGTGATGTCCCACAAAAAATTTGGGCCCGATCGGTTCAGCCGTTTTGACGTTTATTGGTTACAAACAAACAGACAAACAGACAAGCCAAATTTATATAAAGATGTCAATAATACTCCTAGATAATATATTCAAGATATTAATATTACTCCTAGATAATAATATATTCAAGATATCAATAATACTCCTAGATAATAATATATTCAAGATATTATTATTACTCCTAGATAATAATATATTTAAGACATCAATAATGCACCTAGATTATACTATATTTGAGACTCAATAATACTACTAGATAATAATATATCAATAATACTCCTAGATAATAATATATTTAAGATATTAATAATGCTCCTAGATTATACTATATTTGAGACTTAATAATATTCCTAGATAATAATATATTAAAGACTTTGAGAAGGGATGAGGGGAAGTATATAAGTTATCAATAAGAATCATAGAGACAATTTCTATTACCATCCCATTAAAATGAAGATTTTTTAAAATATGGTTTTCCGTATTTTTGATAAGCACTGATTAAAATGATTTTGTATTTTAACGTACATTTTACTACTACTAATAATTGTCAAATACCTGAAGCTTTTTATTGAATAATTATAATTATACTTACTTATCCAGTGTAGATCCAGACATAATCTTCTCCTCGAGTTCAAAGAATACATCAAGCCTTCTCTTCTTTATATCTAGAAAACATTAGTGTATAACAGGGTGCCCCACAGTATTTTTAATCGTGAACAGCTATAACTTGGTATTTTGGAACGCAACAGAAATTTAAAAATGTGAAATCAGTCTCAAATTGTTCATAAAACTGTTTTTGTAGAACATACAGTATCAACCATTCTCTTCAAAATATCTAGCAAACAATATGGCAGAATACATCCAACTCTTCATCAGCACCTTCTTTTCTTTAACAAAAATACATATAACTACTTCAAGCCTGGAGATGACCTCGCAATTCGCATTCCACAGAGCAAGTAAGGGTTAACTGAATTATTTAGAAATTCTCAACTTATTTGAATATAAGTTTATTATGATTTAAAAGTACTGGTTTTTGGCATGTTCATACATCGACACCAAATCTAATTGTTAAATACAGGGTGTCCCACGAAACATGACAATATCTAGACGATTTTGAAGGTCGTCTTAGAACTTTGAAATAATTTGCGGCATTTTTTCGAAAACTTTTTTTATGAGGAAAATTCTAGAATTAATAATCACAAAATACCCCTTGTCTTGGCATTTCCAAATTGTGGTCTGCCTTTTTTGTGCTTTCAATATTTCCGGAGATATGATGAATTTCCTTCAGATTTGGACAATTTTGGTTTTATTTTATAAAAATTAAATCTGAACGAAATTCTTAATATCTCCGGTAATATTGAATGCACAAAAAAGGCAGACCACATTTTGGAAACGGCAGGACTAGGCGAATTTTGTGATTATTGTTTCAGGAATCATGCATGTAAAAGAAGGTTGAAGACTGAACGTCACCAATAACTTAAAAGTTAAAAGACGACTTTCAATTCGTCCTGCTAGTGTCATGTTTCGTGGGACACCCTGTAACTTACTATCAAGTACAGCTGTAGCTAGAGAAGTATGCATATCCATCAATCTTTTCTTCTCCAGTAGCATCGGTAGATCAGACATGGCAGAGGTTAGACGAGCAGTATTATCCGTCAAACTAAATATATTTCCGTCATCTTGGAATTATACTTAAATTCTCAAATTGAACATTTTGCTGTAGTGTCAGTTCCCTTCATGCACTCTTTACTTGTTGGCTGTCTGTGTCTCAGTCGACATTATGAGTTATCGTGTTATCACTTAGAACTGAATTAATAATATTTCTTTTTTAACTTATCAAGAATTAATTTACACTTTCCAAAATGAAATAAAAATATTAAATATGTCGTTTTAAATGGAAGTTTTGTCTTTCTTAATTTTTCAATAAGAAATCGATGAAAATATTTGACCCTCCTGACATACAATAATTTTAACTATGGAATTACCTTGAACATATTTGACCCTCCTGGCATAGAATAATTTTAACTATGGAATTACCTTGAAATATTTGACCCTCCTCCTGACATAGAATTAATTTTAATTATGGAATTACCTTGAACTATTTGACCCTCCTGACATAAAATTAATTTTAACTATGGAATTACCTTGAACATATTTGACCCTCCTCCTGACATAGAATTAATTTTAATTTTGGAATTACCTTGAAATATTCGACTCTTTTGACTTAGAATTTATTTTAATTATGGAATTAGCTTGTTAATATTTGACTCTCTCGACTTAGAATTAATTTTAACTATAGAATTACCTTGAACATATTTGACCCTCCTGACATAACTACAGATGGCAGCAAGGGGAGAAAGGAATATAGAAAGTAATCAATTTGCTATAGATGTCTCTCCTAGCACTTTATCTCAGAGGGACAAGTCTGCTACAAGCAATTTAGGAAGGAGGTTTCTACCTGCCTGCATATCTATATATATTATCTTTGTGTATATCCTACATATCCTATATATCCTTACCTAGATCTGATTTCATCCTCTGTATATCATCTTAATCCTAGATATCCTTACCTAGATCTGATTTCATCCTCTGTATATCCTCCTAATCCTAGATATCCTTAGCTAGATCTGATTTCATCCTCTGTATATGCTCCTTATCTTAGATATCCTTACCCAGATCTGATTTCATCCTCTGTATATCCTCCTGTTTTGCCTTGATTTCCTCTAGGGACTCCTGAATTGCCTCAGCGACCTGAAACCATTTTTCAGCATTTACAAACTGTAGAAAACTTCGAATGAATTGTCTTCTGTAAGAGATGGTAGGCTTAATTTCAATTGACCCTCAATTCTAAGAATGGCATGTCCGATTCACAATAGTACCCTTTAAAACTTGATCCAAGTATGAAGTAGGCATATAGGTTATCGTCCTTTATCTTAAAATGTGTTAAATTCTGTAAATTTACATAATTGTCTTTGTCATTCACACCATGGAGATTGATAAAAAAGAAGCTAACTATTCGTTCTCTTAGTTTATACCTGAGGGAAGGGAGAACCTTTATGTTTGTTCCAGAAAGCATCAGTTGTACTCAGTTCATACTCTTTATCCTTCTTCCTAGCTCCACCAATACCTTCTCCCCCTGGTATAGTGACCCTAAACATTCTCTAGGTTAGTTCATACTCTTTATCCTTCTCCTAGCTCCACCAATACCTTCTCCCCCTGGTATAGTGGCCCTAAACATTCGATTCTCTAGGTTTATTCAGAAGACCCAATTCAGTTAAGTGTCATGTTCCTTAGTCTAACCCACATCGCAAAATTGACTTAATTCTATCCCTTGATTGTCAACACATAACACACAATTATTTTATTTATTATTTTTAGATTTCTTTGCTTAAAAACGATTCAGAAATAATTTTAATTAGCATTAATATGGAATTATGCTTTTTCATTTTCATTTTGTCAAGAGTCAAATTTCTGCAAAAAAGTATTTCGAAGTATTCTTCACCTATTTTGATGGTATGGAAGAACATCATGAGCTAGAGCTTGATAAGTCCAAGTATGATGAAGAGGGGTCGCCATATCAACCGATCTAAACATCTCAATTTGTAAATTTTTGTATAAACGGAACTAATAACTCCCCATATGTTAAGTATTGATCAAGCATTGATTCTCCATCTGATGCAGACCTATGGATTAATTAATTTCCCGTGGTGGTCATACCCTTCAGTGTAGAAATACCTTTACCGAAGGGCCAACCTCAAATTCAAAATTTCCCACACCAGATATTGAGATCAAGAATTCAAGTTCTACACAAAAAAGTTTCAACCTCTGAAATCGTTGAAATCAATATTGCAATTTATGAATTCTACTAGATTAAGGATCAATTAATAAACTTTTAAAAATCAAACGTTTAAACCATCAAGATGATAAAAAGAATTTGAAAGATAGAGTTCGAGGTAAGTTATCATCTCCTTTGCTACAAGCACCAGATTGTAATTTCTTAAGAAATAAAAATTTTAAAAAATGGGACCTGTCCACTAGTACAAGAACAGGACGATGAAAACTGTATCTACCGGCAGCCGCACCATCACTAATCAATCAATCAACCAATTAATCAATCAAGCAATAAATCAATAAATAAATAAATAAATCAATCGATCAATCATTCAATCAATCAATCAATCAAGCAAGCAAGCAATCAATTAATTTATCAATCAATCAAAATGAATCAATGTATCATACAATGAATCATGAATTAATGAATTAATGAGTGTTTTTTTTTTCAAATCAATCAATAAATCAACCACTTTGTCAATCAATCAAATCGGACGAAAAATCAGATCATCAAGCTATCGAGTGATGTTAAGAAAAAAAAAAGACATTAAAATATTCAAGTTAAACGACCTTTGGAAAAACAAAAAAAACATCCATCAATCAATCGAGCAATCAAATACTAAAAACTTCAACCGATAAATCAATTTATTCCCTAAACCAATTGAAATTGATTACCTGCCGAAAAGTGAGTTTCTTGCATCCTTTAAATTATCTCGTAACTTCTTGTCCAATTTCTCTGCTACAGCCTCAGCAGCATTACCTTTAGGACACCTAGGAAGTATTTTTCTATATTATATTTTTTATCATTATTTTTTTTATTATCTATATATAAATTTGGCTTGTCTGTTTGTTTGTTTGTATCCAATAAACGTCAAAACGGCTGAACCGATCGGGCCCAAATTTTTTGTGGGATCATCACATGACCACAGGGAAGGTTTATGAATGATCAAAATTTCAAATATTTGTCTCCATCAAAATTCGATCGTCATTAAATTTTTAAAAATTTTGAAAATCCGCGAAATTTTTTGTGAAAATCCGCGAATTATTTTTGTTATGTTTTACGATGTACACAAAGAGAACATGTTCACAATTAATTTAGAAGATGGGCGCGAAGCGCCCTCTAAGGCTAGTAATTTATATTGTATCATATCTGTTAGGCTCCATAGTAGTAAACCTATCATGTAAGAATTCCCATTAACACACAGTACAGGAGAAAAATTTTACAATATTGTTTGCTTTCTAGCGTTTAAGAATGCTTATTCTTACACTGGGGGTGTAGAATTTTCATTCTTTAACGCTCCAAGCATTAAAGAATGTAAATTATTACACAAGTTGAAAAATATACATTCTTACACGCTACTTATATTGACCCTTTCAACATAGATTCAGAGGGCGTTCAAATTTTCAGACCTTTCCTAAAAAAAAATATGGACAATGCTTTAAGCCTTATACTAGGCATTTTCAACAAACTGCCTGGGTCTCAGAGCATACTGCCAGACTGCCTACTTTAGTTTTTCTTTTTGCAAACCAAGTTTTGAAGGATTTTGCAAATCTCTGAATATTTGCAATATTGCAGTAAACCAAAACTTCGTCCTGAACTGTATCAGTCCAGGTAGAACCTGTCAGCTATAAATGTCAACCCGGACATAAACTCCTCAACGATCAATGTCAAACCAACGGACACGATCTTATCAGCTCTGAATGTCAATACGGACACACGCGTAGCTATAAAACAAGCTCTTAGTCGATCAATACCAAATCTCAAGGTACAATCTTATCGGCTCTAAATGTCATACAGGAACACAAGCGTAGCTATAAAACAAGCTCTTAGTCGATCAATGCCAACTTCAACAGTTCTAATGTTTGGAATTATACGGGTTCATTTGCCAGTTGTGAGTTTTGCCAGGACTAAAAACTTATACAATTGAAATGAACCTTTACTTAAAAGAAAACTATATGTAAAGGAAAAATCACTACATAAACATAATTTTTCTTGTACCATTCATACATTTTACTGTTCTTGGGAAGAATTTTTATCCCTGACTAGACAGTAGGCAGGTGTATATTTCTGAAAATTCTGTCTAAGCCAAGGGTGTAATACAGGTTGCTTCAGAAATATTAAGATCTCTTCTGCTTATGCACAGTCCAAACAAGCTGTAAGTTTCAACGAGGACCAAATTACTTCTAATACCGTAATCAGAGTCTAATTATTTTAGATATCTTATGTTACAAGTTAAAGTGAATCAACGTAATTACAAATTTTTGTCGATATATGTACACATAAGATTAACGAGGATAGATATAACGTAGCTAAGCTATCTCCACACGTAGTTTAAATTGAATGTACATATTTAAGGATTAACATGATAGATATAAGCATAGTTGATATAATCACAACGCATGTTTTAATCTAGGTATGTAAAGATTAACAAATATGGGAATTGCTGTATTTATTACAATATAACGGTCAGAGCTTATCCAAAATGGAAAGGTTATCATGTTTTTCACAATTTCAATCAACTGCATTTCACTTTATAACTGGATACTGAACAAAAAGAGCTTTCCAAAATTCCACCTTTAGTTTTAATATTTTATAACAGTATTAAGAGGTGATGGGGGTCGATTTGCCCCCCACCATACAGCTCACCATATTTCGCATAACTCGAGTTGAAGTGAAACCACAATCAAAAACATTGAATGTTAGTTTATGGAAACAAGTCATTGAAATATTAGTGTCACAAACTTTAATTGGGGTTTTAGCACTCCATACTCCATGGCAATGAAAACAAATCAATAAATCTTTATTCATGAATAAAAGAAAAAGATCTTCATCATTCCATTTCTTGAACTGGTTCTTGCTAGATAACCTGCTTTACCTTCCTTTTTTTTTGAAAATTTAGGATCTTATATCCAGCAAATGTAAATGATTTCACGTTTTTGTTAATTAGATTGAGACAATCCACAACTATTCTCTACCTTCTCTCTATCTAAAAAAACTCAGGGCACATTCAACATGCTAAAGCTAAATATAGCATCAACTTAAAAAAACAAGCAAATGCATTATAAGTTAGTAAACAAAAAAACTAACTAAGGAAACAATCACACCACATGCATTATTTACAAATAAATAAAAAACAATTTTTACTTATAAAGGGTTTTTAACATTTTTACCATCGAAACATTAGAAAAATAATAACAGTAATAGTCAGGACAAGTGCATAATTGAAATATAAAAACTTATTTGCAACTATTAATAATGTCAATTGTTCCAACTTGGTATAGTTGTATTTCACACGAATTTTTAAAAATATAATTTCTCCTCACAAATTTGATATAATAATAATCTTATAAATATATAAACGTAATAATGGAATTCATAAACTCTTGATGCATTCTTTAACTCAGGCCTGTGGATGTTACCTGATAATTGGAACAGTGCCGAGGGTCACACATAGAGAAAACAGGGACTCAGTTATTGTATCTAAAGCAGAGATGATAATTAATAACCGAGGGAGATTTAGTGGAACTAGATCGGTATAGCTTGAATACTTCTCGGAGTCTCTGAGATCAACTTAACTAGCGCAGGAAATAAAGTTTAACTAGACTTGTCCATTTATGCACAATTCGTAAGTTATAAAACATCGATTTTTTCCTCATTATTACTAAGAAGAAGGTTTAAAAGGAACCATTGTGAAAGGAAACGATCATACTACTCTTTCAATGAAGGCAAAATAGAGATTACATCGTTAGTCTCATTGAAAACTGAAGTTTGACAATAAATTGTATAGAGATCTGACCTAGCATCTCCTCCATCTCTGTGTCCTGGACTGAACCTCTGTTAAGGTTGTAGTAGGATATACTAGAATCCTTTGGCTGCTTCAAACAGAACATCTCACTCTCTACAACAGGGATCAATCAATCAATCAATCAATCAATCAATCAATCAATCAATCAATCAATTAATCAATCAATCAAAGAATTCAATTCATTGAATATTTTTAAGGAATCAGTTCCTCAATCAGTAAATAAATCATTTCAACAGTCTAACACTTTATAAAACGATAACCAATCAAGCACTCTTTAACACCATATACTATTTCAATTGTGAAAATCTTCTCTTTGTATACATTGTAAAACAAAACAAAAACTCGCGGATTTCATAAAAGAAATTTCATGGATTTTCAAAACTTTTCAAAATAAATTTTTGTTAAGAGGCACATTTTTTAAAATTCAATCATCCATAACCCTTCCCTGGGGTCACACAAGGTCCCACAAAAAAAATTTGGCCCGATCAGTTCAGCCGTTTTGACAGTTATTGGATACTAACAAGCAATCAAAGAAACAGACAGACAAGCAAAGTATATATATTGATATATAATGAACCAGAGAAATCAATAAATAAGAAAATAAAAAGATCAACAAACTCATTTTGTGTTGAAAAAATAAAAGCATTTTTTTAAAATCCTTAGAGAATTTCTCAATGGCGTTGTTTTCGTTTGTCACAAGTTCGTTGTTTGAACTTTGCTTGTCTATTTTTCTTAAAAGTTAAAAACAATTAAATTCAATTACCCAGGGAGATAAAGTTGACATACTGATCAAACAATTTCTGTATCTGGGATACAGTGTTAGATTGAAGAGCAGCAGTAGCAATATCTTCCAGCTTTTGCCTAAACAAATAGCAATGTTGTAAATGTAGAAAACCCTAAACAAATAGCAATGTTGTAAATGTAGAAAACCCTAAACAAATAGCAATGTTGTAAAAAGTCCCATTAAATTTACCTGACATATTCTATGAATATTTTCCTCCGTAGGAAGACAGAAATACACAGCAGGGGCCTCAGGAATACAATCCCTAGAACAAGAATATATTAATTTATTATTTAATTATACTCATCACTCTTTCAATATAATATGTCCATTAATGCCGATGAACATTGTCAAACAATCAATCAATCAGTAAATCAATCAATCAACAAATCAGTCAATCAATTGCCTAATAAACCAATCAATTGCCTAATCAATCTGGAAGTTACAGGAAATCAGGATAACGATCCTTTTCTTGAAAAACCTTCGAGGGAGAAAACTTTCCTTCTTTTTCTCGACAAATATTCATCCTATGAGAATATGTTTAAGAACTATTCCCCCCCTTCCGGGGAAATGATTCTAGAAGATCTGCGGGAATAAGTATATCCCAAAAAATTTTGTTCGGAAAATATACACCCCTGTTTTCATAAATGAAAAACTATTTAGGTTTTTTGGTAAAATTCTATACTATTCTGATGAACTGACCTCTCCGAATGAAGAGGTAGATAAAGGGTAACTCCTAGTTCTATACTATTCTGATAAACTGACCTCTCTGAATGAAGAGGTAGATGAAGGGTTACTCCTAGTTCTATACTATTCTGATAAACTGACCTCTCTGAATGAAGAGGTAGATGAAGGGTTACTCCTATACTATTCTGATAAACTGACCTCTCTGAATGAAGAGGTAGATGAAGGGTTACTCCTAGTTCTATACTATTCTGATGAACTGACCTCTCCGAATGAAGAGGTAGATGAAGGGTTACTCCTAGTTCTAAACTATTCTGATGAACTGACCTCTCCGAATGAAGAGGTAGATGAAGGGTTACTCCTAGTTCTCTCAAATCCTTGACAGAGAGCAGCGGACCAATAACATTCTGTCCAGTCTTATCATAAACTAAAACCTATAAATAACATTTCAAAAAAAGAAATTTGGTGACAAAAAAAAACCTAAAAATGATAACAAACTTCATGACAAATTAATTATGTAAATAAAATATGATACGAGTGAAGAACTAAAAATAAATCTTGAATTTGATAAACTAACCTTCCAGGTTGGGTCTGACGAGTCTCCTCCACTTCCTGTTAGGTTCAGCATACCCCTAATTTCATTAATGTTTGGTTTTATTACTCATGGACAATCTTTTTTTTTAATTTGTAGAATCAAAAACACAGACTTTCAATTTAAGAACTCATTACGTCACAAAAGAAAAATATTAGAAATTATTTCCGATACATACCCCAGAAAGGTGTATATATTTTCTTGAAAAATCACCCCATCCTACTCCTAAACCTTGGGTTTTTTTTAAATCAAGAAAATTCGGACTGAGCGAGAAAAAAATGGTTTTTTAAACAATATTTGATTTTGCAAGGGAAAATTGATGATTCATTTTTTAAAAAATGATCAGGCAGCTTGCTTGTTTCATGTCAAATATTTCTATTCTCAAAAATGTAGTCCGGATTCTTCAAAATATATACTCCAACCCCTAGATCATTAATCTTGCATAAAGTGTCCTCTCGACAGTTGAAACTAACTATTGAATGCTAGTTTAATTATACGTACTTGAGAGCTTCAATTTGTCGATCCCTCACAGACATTTTGAATTCTAAAAACACAATTTGTAAAAAATGTAACAATTAATACTTGACGTAATAAATATATAAACAGATGTGATAATGACAGTGAGTTGACATATAATAACAATTGAGAATAATTAGAAATCTAGAACTCTACAAGGGAGAGAGGCTGGTTAGAGGTCAAGATGAAGGAGCATGGCCTCCTTTACTCTTGGAACTTGAACCCTTTGTCTCTAAGATCTTCTCTAGCCTCTGTTATCTGTTTCTGAAGTTCTGCAGCGGCCTCCTCACAATCGTTAAATGTCGCAACTCTGAAATGAATGGATTTAAATAAATTTTTAATAATTGATTTATCTTTCGAATTTAAAATTAGCTAGTGAGAAAAGAAGTGCAACGGTAAGTCGATCTTGCCTAAAAAAGGCCTCACGTGACCTCAAGGTAGGTACAGGCCAGTCAGAATAAAAAAGCTCTCAAGTAAAGCAACATTGAAACAAACAAGCTAAAACTATTCCTAGGAAACGCGCCCTTTAAGACTAGTTACAAGTTATCATTCGGCGTTTTCCTGATATTTATATCAGAACTTTTCCAATGCCAACCCGTCAGCATCCAGCAGGGGTCCATATAATTCCATCCAATAAAATCCCAAATCTTGATTGATTGATATTAGGGGCAGGAATTAACCATGTTGTTGTAGTTCACAACTGGAAGTACGATGTTAAGTTATAGAAAAAATTCCATACTGCAAATGACTGCTTTTTACTCATATCATAATTTATCCCTTATATTGACTACTGATTTTTACATCTTTCTGAAGTGTAGTACAAGTGCACAAAAAACTTGCCAAAGTTCACAATGAGACAGAAAATGTATTTTAATACCCCTTTTTGTACTTTCAACACAGAGAAAGTCCAATTTACGAACCTGTACGCAATAACAATGATACTGTAGATACCAAACATAGCTACGGCTATTAGTGGTGAGAATAAGACCAACTGTTTTCTATCTTCTATATCACCAAATTGTCCTTAATATTTACACTATAATTAATTATGAATCGTTATTTTGTATTGTCGAGTTCTACTTTCCTGCAATTTTTGGGGTTAACGAATCTAAGGAATTATGTATATCGAGTCTGTTGAACCATTCAGTGATCTCAATCTTTCTTTAATAATTTTTAATTAAAAACGGACGGACTTTAGAAAGTTACAAACAACATAGAACTATTCATACCAATTTAGTTAGTAAGTTAACTTAGTAGCTTAGTAAATAAATAAATCTTCGAATTATTTAATTAACTGAAACAAAAAATAATACATGCCACAGGGTTGTAATGTATATACAGTAAATGAACATTAAAAATCAAGTTTTTTCATCATTTTTCATAATTTTAACACAAAAATTAATTAATTTACCCCTAAAAATCATTAATTTTCCCTAATACAGCGAATAAAACTTATTTACAGTAATAATAATACTCCCAGCAATAATAATGATTAAACCTGTGAGAAGCGCAACCCATACAGAGAGGAATACAACCACACCGGACACCCATTCTAGTAGTTTCGTCATCTGAAATTAGTATCAACGTAACAAAGAAAAACGATTACATTAGAAAAAAAACGAATAGAGTTAAGTAAACGTAGTACACAGTTTTTAGCAAAATTATGAAAAAATATCTCACAGCGCAATCATTTAACATGTTCACATTAGTGTAGGTAGAATAGAGTAAATATTGAGATCACAAATTAAACTAGTCCTCAAGTTGAAGAGGAAATAATCACAGACTACAAAATAGGCGCAACCTAGGGGTAAAATATCACACCCCCTTTCCCCTCAAGAACCTATAGTTGCGCATATAATTAAAAATTTTGTAAATTCATACATATTTTACATTTGTTAAGGCTTTAAGGCAGTCATTGCATATTTAAGTAGAAAGTAGAAAAATTCATCCCCACCCTCATTTATTGGGATAAAGGTTTAAAGGAACAATCTCAAGTAAATTCTTTTCCCTGAACATATCTTACGTAACAATGTTTAAAAAAACTTATTCTTGAACAATTCTTTCACATGTAATAATTCCTGAACAACGTGATCAGATTTCTGAATCAAATTACTGAACAGTGTGTTCAGAAGTACTTATTTCTGAATCCAATAACTGAACATTTTATTTAGAAGTACTTGTTTCTAAATCCAATTACTGAACAGTGTGTTGAGAAGTACTTATTTCTGAATCCAATAAATGAACAGTGTGTTTAGAAGTAATTATTTCTGAATCCAATAACTGAACATTTTGTTTAGAAGTACTTGTTTCTGAATCCAATTACTGAACAACGTGTTTTCAGATGTACTTATTTCTGAATCCAATTCCCGAACAACGGATCAGCCAAGAGTTACTGTTTGCATCATTACTGAACATCAATTATATTCAAAGGATTAAAAACTTAAAAATTTTGGATAGGATAAAAAACTCAGCATTCCACTTATGTATATATTGTTGGACCAAAATTCAAACTGAAGTATTTAAATGTTTTCTATTTTTCTATGTGATTTCTAGGAGTTTATAATCTCCTTAGTTTGTTTATTCAAAGTATGTTTTCCCACATTTTTAAATGAGGGGTTCAAATTTCCGCAGGTTTATTTCCTTAGTTTGTGAATTGTGTAAGCCCCGAAGGAAGGAATGTTTATGAATATATTCCTAATTGTAAACTTTGCTCCGGTTAGTTGTTCAGCTATATGTATAGCACTCTCAGTGTGCAGGGTGAGAGGTCCAGTACAAAGAGCAGAATCTCCAGCAGCCAGAGCCATAAAGATAATCATCTGATCCTGAATAATCAATCAATCAATCAGCATTGCAGTTAGCATAATAATCAGCATTCTAAGAACATTTAGCATAATAATCAGCATTCTAACAGCAATCAGCGTGAAAATCAGCATTCTACCAACATTTAACCTAATAATTCGAATTCTAACATTTAGAAAACATTTAGAAAAATAAATAAGCATTTTAACAACATTTAGCATAATAATCAGCATTCTTTTCCATGTTCGATAAAAAATAATCATATTATAGTAAAAAACCTGTATATATTTGTCGACACAGCCTCCGCATTCGACAGCCTCGAGGAACTCTGTGGCTGCTTTTCTACCAGTTTCCTCCGTTGATACTTTAGGGGAACCCAAAGCAGATCCTCCTGAAGTCAAATATTTTTTTATTTAATATTTTTGGNACTTGAAATATTTTTTTGAAGGTGGGGGCCAGGGGGGGATGCTTTTCAATTATAATATTGTAGAGATTTATTTTAATACCAGGAAATTATTGATGGTTAATTCTATGAGGTGAAAATAATATAAAAATACATAAAAATACCAGAAAACTGTAGAATAGGAAGACGACATTAAAGCAATGTGTAATGTGCATTTAATGTTGATACAAAGCAAAGAGCTTTTCTAGAAAGTTATTACATTACTTACTAAGGAAAATGGGTTTGTTTACACTGCACAATTGCTATGTCTCCTGTCCATTGGACTATTTAAAAACATTACTTAAGTTCACTTCATATTCCGGAGTTTACTGGTTATCCCTGTAATTGTTTCATATTAGATTTACTCCAAGCTATTACGTTGAAATGCGTACAATTTTTTAAAAAACTATTATGTTGTCAGCCTAAAACTGTTGATATATCAAGCAAATTTCCCAATATCTAAATTTTGGCACGTTCTTTTTTATAATTCAAATTGAGAACTAGATGCAGTCCATTATTTACAAGTTGCACATAACAAATAAAATCCATATTTGTTTGCTTTAATTACCTAAAACACAGCCGGTTGTCGTTTTAGCAACAAGAACAATCCCTGAACCATTTCCACAGGATGCTGAAGCTGATTCTTTATAAGCTTCTATATTTATCTTTACTCCTCTAAATATACATTTCATATTAAACACTAGGAGATCAGAGCTGAAAACTTTAAAATGATAAGTCCTTAATCCCGATTACTTAATCTGAGTATCCAATGGACAAACTTTTGATTTAGATTTAAGACACCAGTAATAAGGTGTATAGAAATAAACGTTTATCAATCAATCAATCAACAAACTTTTGATTTTCTTCTTAAACCGTTCTATCATGGATATCGTAGAGAAAATCAAAAACCGTTTTTTCTAAATTAGAGAGTTCCTCCCATTTCTGTATATAATCTTAAATGGCGACCAAAATTTCAAATTTATCGGCTTCATATACGCGACTCTGATTGGTTGAATTTTATACACTTTTCAGGATACAAGTACAGGATTAGGTTAGTCTCGATATTATGAAAAAGAGAGGATCAAGCATTAATTTCGATATCCACCATTGTAAAGTTTTCAGATCAGAGGTCAGAACTTATGTAATGATAATTCCTTGAGAATTCAAAACCCACGAGGTCCGACGGATTAAGCTAATTCAGTTTGGATGGTCGGATGATTCAACTAATAATAATTTGTCTGCTAAATACCAGAAGCTTCAAAAATATTTTCTCAGTCACTGAGAGGTCACGAAAGTGATTCCCGGATTGAACATATCCTCGCTTCAAAAGTTTCTGCTGTGGATAGTTTTTACAAAAAAACCTCAGACAAATTAGTTTTAAATAACTGTCTTAAGTTATTAATCAAGGAATGACGTATCTAAACAGTACCCAATAAAAAATATAATAGAACAAACTACGGCTTGGATGTCGAGGTTTAGCATTTTAAAAGGAGTATTATCTTAACCTTAGTTCATCTTTGTCATAGAAATCCTTTATTCTATATTGCAAATGAATTTTTAATGAAATAAATACGAATTTTGAAGATAAAAGAATTGGGATAAAATATCAAATAAGTTGGTGTCTCTAATTATACAAGTTATAAAAATACCTGAGAGCAGGAGAGTTAGCAGCGTGCAGTTCCTCTTTACAAGCCTTCACAATAGAATCTGCAACCTTGGAAAATCAAAATAAACAGATAATCAAATTATACGCCATAACCGTTTATTTCTAATCCTTATATCTTTAAAGCCAGATGGTAAAAACCTTTTACAAACTTTTTGATCTAGCAGAATTCCATTCATGGTCTATGCATACTGCATAGTAGCCGATGGCCCAGAAAATATTAGGAACTAGGGGCGTTGTTCTTAAATTTAGGATTTTGCTGAACATTTTCCCAAAAATTAAGAAAAAAAGAACAATTTAAAAAAAAAAAATTTCTAAGTTAATACAAGGATTAGAAAACTAGTGAATAAAAGTAAAGGTAAGGGGTTATTTACCTTCACAAGAAGATACAAGGATTAGAAACTAGAGAATAAAAAGAAAGGGATTATTTACCTTCACAAGAAGATACAAGGATTAATAGAGAATAAAAAGAAAGGGATTATTTACCTTCACAAGAAGATACAAGGATTAGAAACTAGAGAATAAAAAGAAAGGGATTAATTACCTTCACAAGAAGATACAAGGATTAGTACAGAATAAAAAGAAAGGGATTATTTACCTTCACAAGAAGATACAAGGATTAGAAACTAGAGAATAAAAAGAAAGGGATTAATTACCTTCACAAGAAGATACAAGGATTAGTACAGAATAAAAAGAAAGGGATTTTACCTTCACAAGAAGATACAAGGATTAGTACAGAATAAAAAAAGGGATTGTTTACCTTTACAAGAAGATACAAGGATTAGAGAACTACAGAATAAAAGGGAAGGGATTGTTTACCTTCACAAGAAGATACAAAGATTAGAAACTAGAGAATAAAAGGAAAGGGATTGTTTACCTTCACAAGAAAATACAAGGATTAGAAAACTACAGAATAAAAGGTAAGGGATTGTTTACCTTCACAAGAATATACAAGGATTAGAAAACTACAGAATAAAAGGGAAGGGATTGTTTACCTTCAAAGGTAAAGATCCAGCAACAAAGCACCAACCGGTCACACTAACAATCTAGACAGGGGTATATAATTGTAAGAATTACAAGGACCAAGGGGAACAATGATTATTAATGATAATGGGGAGCACCGAAAACAAGAATTACTCCATTATATTATCCATTATTCAAGGTTTCTTTTCAGACTCGAGCATTTAACTCTAGAAATGGAGGGACAATTACATCAACATTCCCTTTATTAAAGTTCTTCAGATAAATAATTAGAACTTCTTTTTAAAACGTTATATATATATATATATATGTCTATATATATATATATATATATATATATATATGTATGTTGCGTATAGGCGGCCAAACGGCTAGACCGATTAAGCTGAAATTTTTTGTGGACACTCCTGGGTGGCCGGGGGTGTCATAGGCTAAAAATAATTCACAATTTTTTTTGCCACGAGCAACCCCGGGTCCTTCAGCTAGTTATCAATAATTTCCTTAGTAAATCTTAAAGAAATGTTCCATGACCTGGGTCCGACTCCGGATCCATACTTTTTCCAATGCGGATCCAGGCTCCGGATCTGGATCTGCATTAAAATAAAATGGATTCTTAACACTGGTAGCAACCAAGATTTAGTTTTTTATGTAATTTTATTAATTGTAAAAAATATAACATATTTTGCCTGTTAAAGTAAACATATGAACAATGGCATGTTTGATAAGTTTCCTCGTATTCTACTATTGGTCCGAAATGTCTAAGGTTTGCGAGGAAAACCTCTGTAAACTCGTCAATCTGAGGAGCCATGTCGGCATTCGTTCCACCTCGTAGGTTTAACACTACAAACATAAATAGTCTGGATTAAACTATAAACTAAATAAAAATTTATCTTGTATGTATCCGATACAAGTCAAGACGACTGACCCAATCAGGCCAAAAAAAATCGTGCGGCAGCTCGCATGACACTAGGAATTTTTTTTTCTCAATTAGTATTTTGAAAATGTGCCAATTAAAAAAAATTCACCCAAAAATTGTTTTTCAGAACGATAAAAAATGGAGACTTTGAAGCATAAGTTCAGAAGTTGTAACTGGACAAGATGACGCGAAGCGGCCTTTTAACCAATTTAAATAAAAAGACGATCAAAAAATAAAAACTGCCAAGGTTTGAGGTAGCTCCATGTCATTAAGAATGAGCTGTAAAATGAAGTCAAATGAAAGTATTGGGATTTGAAAGCAATCTGACAACGGGTTATTCGAGATAAAAGAAATAATTATGGATAGTTAACGGGAGTGTTTGGCTAGACATTGTAGATGAGCTGAGGATGTATTCTCATAGACATTTTTTAGGATTCATTTAAGACCTATGAGACAAAATGGACAATCAATGAGGATTTTAAAGATTAAAATTGCGCTGAACAAATATGCATCGTAAAAACATCTCATAGGTCTCAAATTAATCGTAAAAAAGTTTTGTATAATACTGCAGTATCAGCTCAACTACCATGTCTAGCCAGACACTCCCTTTAAAAGGAAACATAACAGAAACATAACTTTCCAACAAACAACTGTTAATTTTCAATAAAAAGTTAGAAGTAAATGATTTTGTCAGGGGAAAATATTTCAAGTTTATATTTTTGAGTTGAATCTACGACCAACTAACCTATAGAAGAAGGTGCAAAAAGAGCACAAGGTAGAGCAATCTGTGCAAGCAAACAAACAGCTCCAGCATTCTGTGTATCAGCTGCGTATTCTCCACCATTCATCTACATTAACATTGATTGATTGTTTTTATTTAATGATTTATTTTTAAAACTTTTCCATATGCATTGGTAAGAAATAGGAGAATTAAAATCATAATTGATAGTTTTATTGATTTCATTATTATTTTATACCCCCACGCTTGGTTATTTCGTTGAACAGGAGATTAAACGATAAATTACTACTTAACCGGGAGTTTTCATGAGGATAAATAAATTGAGGGGAAAACCACTTAGCCTTGGGCCTCCTCGACCTTTTTGGGGTTCTAAACCTCCCTCGCTACGCTCGTGAGGTTTAGAATCCCAAAAAGGTCTTGGAGGCCCTCGGCTAAGTGGTTTTCCCCTCAATTTAATTATCCTCCCTTAATCTCCCGGTTAAGTAGTAATTAATAGTTATAACTTGTTAGTCTCCCCTCACCCCTTCGGTAAAAAAATAAGGACCAAATTTTATGAATTGAAGAGACGTGCTGAACTTCATACCACCAGTTCAAATCCTGAATCTCTGATTATAAGTTCAATATTTTGAACAACTTTAATGTGATGTCAGCTGATACAGCCATATTTGCCGAAAATTCAAACCAGCAAATATGGGTTCATTGATTTATTAAATAAAAAAGATCTCAGCTCTTAGTCCTTAGGATAGTTGAAAGTTTAAAATCTTCCTATTTGAACCAGCTGCAAGAAATACATGGTTGATTGGTTCAAACGTCCTAACGTATTTCAACGACCACTCGGAGTTATTTAAATTCGGTCCCAGGATGCAAAACTATACCTGTCCAGGAGAGAATGCTATCTCTTTAGAACCAAAGCTTCCTCCCTCAAGTTTGCCATTACAGATTTCACGAACTAGAAATATATTTTATCAAGGTGAGGATGATTTTTTACGTAAAATGTAGTAAAAATTGAGGCCCATTGTAATTTACGTATTGCGATTTACCCATTCCATGTACGTGGATTTATACACAACTCCGTCATAACCAGTTTGTGATTGTCAACAACGTTATGTATATATATATGACAGCACATAACTTGTAATTACGCTGTTAATGTCCCAATTCTAATATGAACTACGAAATACACCTAAGTTGATAGACAAACTCCGTACCGTTTACTGTGAGAGCGTAAAGATGAAACCCTGTCTATATATTCAGGTCGATCGGTCCCTTTAATTTGAGATCGAAATATAGTTTGTTAATAGCTAGGCGTGTGTCCCTGTGTGGCATTTAGAGCGGATCGTCCCTATCATTCGGGATTGCTATACATCTGATAATATAAAAGAAATATGACGAAGTGTGACCAAAAATAATAAAAACTGTATATTTTAAATTTAGTTTCTGTTTGGTGACTTTCTTAATTTATTTACCAACAAAAAATGGTTTTTTCAATAAAAGGTTTACCTAAAGAAAGACCTGTCAGGTGTTGAGCTTTAAGACCAGGACTTGCTCGCCCAGCTCTGATTTTGTGAATTTTAATCGGAGTTTCCAAAATCGTGGATAGAGAAACTAGAAATATGAAAATTAACCGTGAGATATCATGATAAAAACGATCAACGTTAATATATTTTTTAAGTATCCAACTTGCAGAATACATAAATAAGAAAAGTCAGCTATGTTAGTTTAGTTTAGTGAAATACGCTTGGTAATATCCTAGAGAACGCTTTAAGGACCCCCCCCCCCCTCATATTCTTTCAATTTACAAATTTAACGTGAAATAGAGAGTAAAATGCGAGAAGCATTTTGTAAATGATTGTTTACATTTTATTATACATATATAAATTTTTACTGTATTTTTATTCAATAAAAGGTTGAAAGAGAAAAATTTACAACATAGAGATCATATGTCACACATGATCAAAGTAGGAAATGTGGCCGCAGCGCCCGGCCCCCTAGCTAGATCAAGTCCAGGCGCTGGCCCCCTAGCCTGTCATATCCGCAGCGCTCGGCCCAGAATAAAAAATAATTTAACCCAGAAATAACCATGTACAAAATTGAGAGGAGGGAGGTCTAGGAAATCATTTATCATCCATTTTTTAATAAGGAGAGCGGGGGGGGGGGCANAATAAATGACTAGATTGGTCATTTGGACGTCAAAATTTTGGTCATTTGGAAGTCAAAAGTTTGGTCATTTGGACGTCCAAAGTGACTTCGACTTCGAAAATTAGGTCGTGATACGTAAGAAGCTGTGCGTTAAACGTCCTCAACACCTAAAATACGCCATCGCCGGACGTCCAATTGGTAATTATGGACGTCTTCATGACGTCCAGGACGTCCTCAGGAATTTCTAGGGATTGTAATTAAAAATGATCTAAAGCCAATGTAAATGGAAATTTATTTTTATAAGTAATATGGCTGAGTGAAAAAATTGTAAGTTCAGCTCTAAAGTAGAAATATTTTTACAAACTATAAGAGAAATTTTCTGTTTTGAGCACTTAAAAAATTCACTTTTAATGCTTATTTCTTTTTAAATTTTTGCGGGGGGCTACGTCCACCCTGCAACCCCCCCCCCCTCGCTCACTACGTTTCGCTCGCTACAATTTAACCCAATATTATTCAGACTTTGACCCCTCCTTTTTAAAATGTACAAGTACAATGTACATATTTGATTCTTTAATGAATAATGAATATACATATTGTGATTTATATTAACCAGAATAGATTTCTTTTCTTATTTCATATAAAATATGTTGACTTACTAAATATCTGGTTGCCAAGGTTAGTTTATTGTTGGAGTATAATACACATATTTTTCTCCCCCCNAAGAGGGGGGGTGGGGGGTAAAATCATTGTCGCGTAATACAAACGGAAATCACCTGACCAGTATTATACTGCGCACTGCCATTGGCTGAAGTTCTGGTGACGTAATTCCGCAGAATTAAAGGGGTCGCAATTGCGCGCAAGCAAAACCCACTTGCGTTTGAAACTCTAAGCCCAAGGGATTAAAATATTTTATACTTAAAAATATTTGAAATATTGACTGTCTCTTATAATTTTCATTAGAAATATTTCCATCATTGAAAGTAAAATTCTAAAACTTATTTAGTAAACCCCCATTTTGAAATTCTACTTTCTAGTTTCTACCGGCACCGCTTATAGAAAATGAAAATCTAGGTGTTGCAAATTGTAATGATCAAATTTCTCCCTGAATTTGTATTTAAAAAATGTAATTTATTTGATTTTAAGATGATAATATTAGCAGGACAGTGAGACCCAGAAAACTGAGGAATAGAAAGACGATCTTTAAACAATTGAGAACTTTATGCTGTTATAAAGCAAGTATTTTTAATATTATAGCTTAAAAATCAACTTATTAAGTGAAATGGATCTGTTTAAATTCCAGAATTGGAGGTTTCATTTTCATTGCATGTATTTAAAGTCAAAACTTGAACCACAGTTTTAATCTATAGTGTGTAAACGACGAAAATCACTTTTTAAATGCCATACTTTTCAGAATTATTCAAATATAGGCAATGATGAGGCGGAACCAATTTCCCAGCATTTCCATGCCTTACTTTTATATATAAAAGGTATATATTATGAAAAAAAAATTGATGAAAAAATGATAAAATTTTTTTAAAAACTAAATTTGACCACCTCCTCATCCTCCACTTTGTTACAACAACTCATTATTCTTCAGAACATCTTTCATCTGGAAAAAACGTCAGGTTCTCCTTAAAATTAAACCAAAAGAGTGTTTATAAAAGGGTCCAAAGAAAGTTATAACTTTAAAACCGAAAGATAAAAAATGAATTATTTTCCCTTATAATTCTTACTTCTATATTACAGATAAAACAGTCTTTTTTAAATTGAACCTTTATAGAATTAAGGAAGATATTGTCGTTTTTTCTATTTTGCAACCATGAAATATTGTCTGCTGCGTTCATACAAAAGTCACTATTACTGCAATTTAAAGTCATACATTGTTAGCACCGAAAACAAGAATTACTCCATTATATTATCCATTATTCAAGGTTTCTTTTCAGACTCGAGCATTTAACTCTAGAAATGGAGGGACAATTACGGGGGGGCAGACTTATTTACCAGATATTCTCAACATTTGTCCTCCTCCTTCCATCACAGATCCATCTATTTCTAACAGTTTTTTGGCCGCCATTCTTAGCATGTGCTAAAACTTTCAGAAAACATATATATGTGATTCATGTGATATGATGAAATTTAAATAAACGTACACAATAAACACTGCATGCACACCTTGATTCAGATACTAAACTTAAAACTTCGTTGAATATCGCTACAATTCCTACAATCCCTCATACGCATTCTTGATAAATTGAGCTTATTCAAATTATCGCGACGAAAACTTCTATTTGAAATTGATGACGTGAAAATATTTGTTTCGTTTCGATCCCGTTAAATATTGTGTGCGACCGCCGCGCAACTTTCTATTCATGATTTAAGATCTTCATGGTCGTCTTCATTTTTGAAAAATATTAATTTTTTCGTCGTTATACGTTCGTTCGACGAACTTTCGTTATGCGATCGTTAACGACGACCCTATACGTTAACGATCTGAAGGGGTAGCGCCGCGGGTGGGGTGGGGGTAGGCAGGGGCGGATGCAGGATTTAAGTGAGGGGGGGATAAAGGGAAAGTAGCTTGAAAATTTTCAGAAAAGGGGTAAGGTAGAATTAGAATTCTAGCAAAAGAATCGGAAGTAAATAAAAGCTCTAAGGCAGAAATCGGAAATGTTGGACGCAAGTAGATCTGCAGGTTGGAGTATTGTNCGTTTTATATATATATATCAGTATTTATTATCAATTTGTTTTAAACTCAGCGGAAACGTATCAAATCTTTCAGAAAAAGATACAAAATCTTACTATTTCTGATCATTAAGTAAAAAAAAATCCTGAATAAGTTAATTAATGCGAAAGAAGTTGAAATATTCAAACGAGTTATCTTCCATGTTGTATCAGAGTTTTTCCGTAAAAATATATGAAAAATTCTATTCAGAAATATCGCTGCATATTCAGTATGATTTTTATTTAAAGAGGGGGTATGACGGATCAAGATGTGGGATGTATAGTTGAAATCTAAAGACAATAATTGACTGTAATTTGCACAATTTTCAGGAATTATTGACGTTTTTTCTTTATTTTACATTCATTACAAAAATAATAAGTTTATTTTGTTGAATTTTTCTGTTAAATTTGATTTAACCTTCTTCGGTTCAATTTGATTTAACGTTTTTCTGTTAAATTTGATTTAACCTTTTTTTGTTCAATTTGATTTAACCCTTTCTGTTCAATTTGATTTAACCTTTTTCTGTTAAATTTTATTTAACCTTTTTCTTTTAATTTTTATTTAACCATTTTCTGTTTTATTTGATTTAACCTTTTTCTGTTAAATTTGATTTAACCTTTTTCTGTTTAATTTGATTTAACCTTTTTCTGTTTAATTTGATTTAACCTTCTTCGGTTCAATTTGATTTTACCTTTTTCGAGAAATTCTCGTAAAAATTTACCTTTGCACTTCGAGTTACATAAACAAGGTTATCTTATGCTACAATGTACAAAATACAAAAAATTTTACTTTCAGTATTTAAAGTTCAAAAATTAAAAAAATGTACGAATTTGTTTATGCAAAGAAAACATTTCGACAACTTTTTTATTGAATTAAAATACAAAAAACGTTATTCGTGCTTTTTACTAGTAGAAATTATATCTTAATTTTTAAATCTGTTTGTGGGGTACATGTAAATTATCCAAATGCTTCAAAGTTTTTAAAAGTAACTTCAAAATTAGACATTAAATTCATTTAAGCATAACATTAACGCTCTAGGAAAGAAGGGACACACATAGTCTAGGAAACATTTAGTCCAGGAAACACTGGAAACATACAGTCTATGAAAACAAGAGAAACATACAGTCTAGGAAAAAAGAGAAATAAACAGTCTGGGAAACAATGGAACATACAGTCTAGAAAACAAGAGAAACAAGCAGTCTGGGAAACAAAGACAAGAATTTGTCCCATACGGACTACAGAATATGTTCTCCGGAATTTGTCCCTACATACTATGGAACAAGTTTCTCCGGAATTTGTCCCTAAATACTATGGAACAAGTTTCTCTGGAATTTGTCCCTACATACTATGGAACAAGTTTCTCTGGAATTTGTCCCTACATACTGCGGAACATGTTTCTCTGGAATTTGTCCCTACATACTATGGAAAATGTTTCTCTGGAATTTGTCCCTATATACTATGGCACAAGTTTCTCCGGAATTTGTCCCTACATACTATGGAACAAGTTTCTCTGGAATTTGCCCCTACATACTATGGAACATGTTTCTCTGGAATTTGTCCCTACACACTATGGAACATGTTTCTCTGGAGTTTGTCCCTACATACTATGGAACAAGTTTCTCTGGAATTTGTCCCTTCATACTATGGAACATGTTTCTCCGGAATTTGCCCTTCATACTATGGAACAAGTTTCTCCGGAATTTGTCCCCACATACTATGGAACATGTTTCTCTGGAATTTGTCCCTACATACTATGGAACAAGTTTCTCTGGAATTTGCCCCTTCATACTATGGAACATGTTTCTCCGGAATTTGTCCCTTCATACTATGGAACGAGTTTCTCTGGAATTTGTCCCTAAATACTTTGGAACAAGTTTCTCTGGAATTTGTCCCTACATACTATGGAACATGTTTCTCCTGAATTTGTCCCTACATACTATGGAACAAGTTTCTCCGGAATTTGTCACTACATACTATGGAACAAGTTTCTCCGGAATTTGTTCCTACATACTATGGAACAAGTTTCTCCGGAATTTGTCCCTATATATTATGGAACATGTTTCTCCCGAATTTGTTCTGTCGCTTGCCAAATAAATTTCCGTTCTTTTGTAAAAGTGCCACATTTTATAGTGTGAAGTAGTATTTGAAACCAATTCCATTATTTTATTATTCCTACTGTCAGTGTACATCTAGTTTTCAGAGAAGCAACAACTGCTATGGTTCAGCGCTTCTAAAAGTACTCAGAGATAAAGGGTGAGAGAGAGAAAATGGCAAACTAGAGAAACTTTAGCCAGGGGTGTAATATGGGGGGTATACACCCCTGCACACAAATGGCAAAGAAATAAACGGAACTACAAGGAACATTAAAGGCTTGCATTATTCTTTAAACGCTGTATTAATCTGGAGAATGGAGGTTTTTTACCCAGCTTGATCCAGATTTTGTTACTTTAAGCTTTAAATATACTCCTTAATAACAAGCCAGGTTAGCTGTTATTAAGTATCCGAACTCCTCGGAAAGACTTCATAATTCTTTCGATTGAATCTGGTTCTATGTGTAAGCAAGCATCAAGGGAGCTCAGGACAGTCAGGTTTTTATACTACTCTCTCCAGTTTCTTGTGGCTGAACAGAACCACGTTTAGAGTAACATGGCAGTACACCCTACTTGGAAAAAAAGAAAATAAAGTGTAGAGAAGGAGGGGTTTCTCTTTCTTACTCTTCCCCTTCCCTCTTTCTAGAAACAAAGAAAATGGAAACATAGAAAGTAGAGTCCCGATATGATATGATACGAACAAATTTCCTTATTAAATGCGTTAATTTTACTAAAAATAGGGGTATTTACGAACCGTTGGTGACATACGTAAATTGTTAGTAAGGGTACTGTTTGTCAGTATAGCTAGTACCATAGATAAATTGCCATTTTCAAATTTAGTTGAAACCCTCTGGTATGGTGAAGACGACATGAGTTATCTAAGGATTTAAAAGTTAAAGAAAATGAAAGCTAATAATAAACTATATTTTCTACAATAACTATAAATAACACAATAACAAAACAAAAACATAAAAACATAATATGTAAATTGTTAATTACAGAAAGCTTTCAGCTGCATCTATGATTTTAAACCAAAAGCCGAAGCGTGGACAAATATTGTCTTTGTCAGACACTGATCAATAGTATGCCCTTACATCACAACAATCATCATTATATACGGTTATCAGAGGCGTTGTCAGGGGAGGCTATAGGGCTAAGCCCCTCCCTGGACCAGTGATTTCAGGGGGTTTTCCAGGGGTGCTGAGGTCCCCCCCTGGAAAGAAAAAAATGTAAGCCCCCCTGGACAAATTCCTGACTACGCCCCTAACTGTTATCTGTGCAAATATGCATGTGGTCTGGAAAGGGGTGGGTGGGTGATACAGATAAATAATAAAGGTATTCGAAAATGTTTTAAAGCCCAGTGATAGATTTTTACGATTCTGTATAAAAAATGTTGAACGATAAAATGTATCAGAGGCAGATGAATGATGAAAGTAATTTTCTGAGAAACCACAGTAAAATAAAAGTTTAAAGAAACAACAAATTTTATATCCAATTTATACTTGACAAAGCTTTAAAGGGTACCGTTGTAAATCGGGCATTGTCAACGTTGAAATCATGCTTTACAGTTCCTTTAAAATGTCGATAAATAATAAAGTTCAAATTTTGGCACGAAGTAAATTTGCCTGAATTTATAGATAAACTATAGTTCTGTTGGACTGATGAGTTTATCGACACACATATAACAATCTTAAAAGCATATATTCTCTAACATGCACTAACAGAAATGCCAGGGGCGTGGTCAGGAATTTTTTAAGGGGGGGGGGCTTAATTTTATTTCTTTCCAGGGGCTCAGCCCCCCCCCTTACCTCTGTACCATGCCCTAACAAAAATGACAATTCCCTAAATTTATGCGTTAATAAGTATGGGTATTTTAATGGGGAGTCGGAAAAAAAACTAAAACATAAGATTTGAGTTTAGGAAGGGGAAGGGGGAGGGGAAAGGCGAAGGCCATATATCCAGCTAATAGATTATAGTTTATACTACAAGAGCAGGGTTATAGACTAGAGCTCTGAGTATAGGTATAAGCACAAGGTAGATATAGAACTGATCATGATATGAGTCTACTGCTGATCTAGTAGATCTATCTCCAGGTCCCCCTGGTCCTATGTAGGGTTCAGAGTTCTGATTGTTGTATTCACTGTAGTACCAGTTCACACTGTTCTCCTAAACAGATCAGAGATCGATAATTTTTCACCCGTTTTTAATAATATTCTAAAATTTATTATAAAGATATCTTTAATAATGATAATTTTTATAACGATAATTTTAATAATGGTAATTTTTCATCCGTTTTTAATAATATTCTAAAATTTTTTATAAAGATATTTTTAATAATGATAATTTTTTATAATGATAATTAGAATTTTAAAAAAGCAAATATTTTGTGGAACAAAGTCCCTTTGAAGTAGAAAGAGAATGTGTAATAAAAACATTGCAGATCCATTTTAGTTTTATTATTATTATTATTATTATTTTATTCTCTTGTTCTAATTCTTAAAACATGTCCATTGACCTGATTCACAAAGCTAGGTAACTTTAAATGCTTTTTCTGATCAAGTATTGTTAGAAATGCAGTGAATAAAAATGATTATTTTCATTATTATTATTATTAGTATTAGTATTATTATTATTATTGTTATTGTTATTATTAGTATTATTTTTGTAATTGTTATTATAAAACGTGTTAAATTGTTCATGTTGCTGCAAAACTAATTTAAATATTTATCATGAAATATAAAGTTTACTAATTACCATATTCTTTAATCATGGTCTAAACCGTACTGTACCTGGTTTAAAACATCAGCAGGCCCACCCTGGCGATCCGGGTTGGGAGATGAGGACCGGGCTCGGTCCGACTGCAGAGAGGAGGGTGAAGACGATCTACTGTACCGTTCCTCCGTCTGCATGTCACTCCTCCTAATTTATAGCATCAAGACAATAATAATTTTAAAAGAAAACTTTACACAGAATTAAACATTTCCAAAGTCAAATGTTTAAGTAAGATTTCGTAAATAATACAAAGCATAGAGTAGGTTTAGGTTCCAGGAAAAGCTGGGTTCCCAAGCTTGTATCTATAAAATAGTAATTTCTTTATTTTTTGTTAGTATGGCCGACCCCGAGCATAAATCATGATTTGCCTCAAATGTTGATAGGGTAACTTGGTAGAACCAAGAGAATGTGTTTAGCTGGTTTTAAAATATTCTATATTGAGTGAGAGACTTTTACAGAAAAAATTCCAGTTTTCAGGCAAAGATGGGTTTCCAAGCTAGTATATATATTTTCCTAAAATTTTAATTTAAGATATGAATATTTTTTAAGCTAAAAAAGAAATCTTCTAATGGATAGATTTTTTCTGTCGAAAAATTTCTGCGAGTGAAAAATTATTTCAGAAATAATTTTTTTTTTTAATTTAAGACAAGAAATCTTTTTAGATTTTCCAATTTAAATAAAGAATATCATTCTTCCACAAAATTATTTGATCTTTTTCTATATATAATGTTAAAAATTTTTTAATTATAGCGTGATATAAAAAAATTACGATTAAAAAGGAATTGTTTGGAACTGATCCTAATTGTATGATAAATCCAAGAATGTTTACGTTGCTGCAGAAAAACAATTATTTTCTGCAGTTGTAAATTTGTTTGGATAGGTTTTGTTAAATCTACTTTTTTTGTAATTTTTGCACTGATGGTTTGGGTTACAGTTATGATTTCTGAGTTGGTTCCTTTTTTGTTGGATACTCATAGTCCCAATCGCTTGATTTCGATATCCATTGAGGGCACTTTCAATTTGAGAATCAATGCTTGATCTCTTCATTTCAGTTATTCTTCAAGGGTACGATTACCATGCAGGGATATCGAATAAAGATCAAATAATTAATCTGCTGATTAACAAAAGGTCGAGATCAAGCATTGAACTCGATATTCACAATACAAGAGTTCCCAGCTCTGATTTATCTTTACCTATTCTGTGAGTAGCTGGTGTCCACGCCTCCCGGCGTAGTCCTGATGGGTGGGTAGGGTGTAGGGGGCGTGTACTCCATCTGTGGGAGCAGCGGACCCTGTCTCTTGGTAGTATCGGAGCTGGTTGGTTCCGTGATACTGCTCCGGATACTTGTTAGATCCTCCCCTGTCTTCTCCGAGTTTAAGTAGGTCAGGAGGGACATCAGGGAGCTGGTGGCATCTGTTCCAGCCGCCTCTGTCGCTGCTGTTGGGACTGTCGAGGCGGAGGTTGACGTTGAAGGAGAATCTAATGAGTTAATAATTTCTTCAACCGGTTCATCGTAGTAAACATACTCATACTCATAAGTATATTCGGGAGCAGCGGTACTGGAACTAGAGGTCGTCGTTTCAGCTTCTTCTTTAGGAGTTCCTTTGTGGGTTACATCTATATTTACAGCACTGTTCTCAGTACTACCTGGAGTAAGGTTTATTGGTTCCTTGGTCTGAACCTCATATATCTCCAGACTATTCTCATCTTTTACAGGATGTTCCTAATGCAACCACAGTCAAATATTTGTTCGTATTATCACTAAAGCTCCTAGAAGGCACTTTAGGCGAAATCTTAAGTTACTCTTTTTCTGAGAATGGCATATTCACAATGTTACCCTTCAACACTTTGTGAGCTTAGGAAATAAAGATATCGTCCACATTATTGATCAGGTAAAGCTTAACGCTTTGATTAAGTCGTTACCCTCTATAAATTTGGGCTTGCTTAAAATAACAAAGACAGTCCCTTTAACGCGACGTAAAAATTTATGTATTGACCGTTTGATAAATTATTTGTGAAAAGATTAAATTCTGAAACTAAGATCTCAAAAGTGTTAAAAATAGTTAAATTAAACTGTCCATGATTGTTAGCCCAGAGAAGATTTTAAATGCAAATTCAAATTTTCATGCAAAGATGAATTATTTAAGTTAAAGTTGAGAGTAGCATGGTTAGAATACTAAATAAGTTGCACTAAATGCATTTAATCATGCATCTGCTTAAAGGATATGTCAACAAATATTCACACTTTCCTGTTGTTTTGGATAGACTATCCCAGAAGCGATATTTCCCACTTTTTCTTGAGATTTCCGAGGATCATACGCAACAGTAGTCTCAGTATCATCATAGTATTCATCAAGGGTCCCGAGGGTGATGACCGGAGCCTCTGTTGATCTCCTGAATATTGATGGTTCCTTGAAATCTGGGTAATCTTCATAGAACTGATTTAAATCTACAGCGTTCAGGTTCGATCCGGATGTTTCCGTGGTATCTGTAAAATCTAGCGAAGGTTTTCTTGTCTCGGTTTCAAGGTTCTCATATCTGATGGTTGCATCTATCTCCGGAAACGCAGGTCTAGTCGGTCTGTTCCTAAGTATCTCCGCATACTCACGGAGAGACTGTCCACCTTGAACCTGGAGCTTGGACTGATCTCGTGTGTTGGGGATAAACATAGGTTGGAAACCACCCTTGCCATCATCTCCAAAGTTTGTGTTATAGTTCCTTGAGGGAGGAAGGACAGGGGAGGAGGGAGGAAGAAGAATCGGATGTATGGGATGATCAAATTTTATCAAAGGAACGGTCTCCTCCGCTGGGAAGTATCCTAGCTCCCCACTTTGGTTTGGGAAGTAGCCTGAGCTCCTCGGTGTCTCCATGTACTCCCCTGATAGCGGGATTATTGGATTCCCCGGGGTAGCATATCCATACTGTCCTCCCTCACCTGGACGGAATCCAAAACCTCCTCCGAGCCTTCCTAAATCTTTCTCATCAAGATATATCTCTTCTTGTTTCGGGCTGAGAGCATCTGGAAACATCGCAGCAACCTAAAAAGAATATTCTGGTTTAAGAATAAGTGTATAGATACAACCGCAGAATAGGAAATCAAATTTAGTTTCCACTTTTTGAAGTTTTCAAGGAAAAAACGAAGTTCCTTTCTGGGAAATTGACAATTTACAATACTGAGAATCACTCCGGGGATTTTATTCAATTTTATAAGGGGTTTAGTTAGAGTAGTATGATGTACAATGTTTGTGGGAAAAATTGAATTCTTGCTTTGTTGGAGAGATAGGGAGTTGGTAAAGGAAATTTGGAAAAGAATAGATTATTAAATTTGGCTGGTTTTTTTATCTTAAAACTTAAATATTTTTATTTTCAGGAAAGTTTTAAAAACAGTATAATTTGATCAAAATTATTGTGAAACGTAGCTTTAAATATTTTAAATGTCAAATTTTGTCCATAGAAACCAATTTTGCAGAGCGGGATATTTCTTAACTTTATGAACCCTAGGGACAATAAAGTAACAATACGCCCTGAAAAATTGAAAAGGAATTAAGTCTTTACTACAAACTCTGAATTTCTAATCCCTATATCTTTGCCTTAGATCAAATAATCTAGGCTTGAAATATCAAAGGTTTACAGGTTGCAAAGATATCTGGATTAGAAAATTTTATTTGTGGCAAAGACTCAACTCCTTAGGGCATATATATGTTCAAAAGGGGGTACAATTCTGAGACAGCATTAATGAAAAGTTTTAATAAGAAATGAAGTTAAGTTTGTCCAAATAATCACCTTCTTAAAATCTATGTTCTTCATAGTGTCGATCCAAACTGGATCCTGATTATCAGGTCCTCGGGTCAGATCTTTTATCGTGTTCAAGGCCATCTTGATATTCCCCAGAGTATCTTTCTTTTCCGTTCCACTAGCTTCACCCTTCCGACCTTAGATACAGATACAGATACAGATACAGATACAGATACAGATACAGATACAGATACAGATACAGATACAGATACAGATACAGATACAGATACAGATACAGATACAGATACAGATACAGATACAGATACAGATACAGATACAGATACAGATACAGATATAGGTACAGGTACAGGTACAGTTACATATACAGGTACAGGTACAGGTACAGGTACAGGTACAGGTACAGGTACAGGTACAGGTACAGGTGCAAGCACAGACACATACTCTGACAAAGATACAGATATATATAGATACAGACATAGATAGATACAGATACAGATAAAGATTAATTTTATATACATGTTTTATGTTCATGGAACTTTATTTAACATTTTAATATAAATGAAAGTTCTAGTTTTTAAATATTTTTGACACCACTGTAAAAAAATCTAATAAATTTTGTAATAAGTAAAACAATCTTTTTAATGCACCCCACTAAGTTGCACGATCCTTAAGCAGGTAAAACATGAATGTATTGTATTTGCAATTAGTCGTACTGTCAAGTCTGGACTACCTAGTGTAAAGTCAACCAAACACGTTTTATGCAACAAATGTAGCCTGGCAAGAGAACACTGTTTGGTTGATATATTGAAATATATAGTTACCTAAGGGTAGGAGTCCACCGTTTGCCATAAACTGTGAAATAGCTGGAGCTAAACCAAAGCTGAGAGAAATAGGAAGGGATGGAATAGGAATACCAAATATAGATAATCCTTTCTCATCCTCAGGTTTATCCTCATCATCCTGCTTCTCATCTCCAATATCGGATCCAGCATAGATAGTTGGAGTATCTCCGATTCCTAATATTGTTATGAATATCATTGTTATATTTAACATATTTGGTTATTACTGTTCTAAATATTCCTGATAAAATATCATTGTTATGAATATTATTGTAATAGATATTATTGTTAAAATCATATTATTGTTTTAGATTTTAGAGATGGGATTTTTTTTAGGAAGTATAACTAAAGTTAGATGTAATCTCAATTGAATTCGGTAAAAACAGTAAAAAAGTGATTACTGCAGTACGGATCATAGCATTAGTGCATTGATTACTGCAGTAAAGCTCACAGTGCATACAGGCTGCAGTACTTCCTTCATGTTTCTAATAAATAAGAAATGTGCTTGCAGTCACTTTTGCAGAGAAAATACAAATGAATTAAACAAATATATGGATATCTATCTAATTCATACCTTCATGAGTACTTTTGGAAATCGAACATTGTCATCTTTGCATGGAAGGTCAATTGAAATTACCAATTGAAATTACGAATTGAAATTACGAATTGAAATTACAAATTGAAATTACAAATTGAAATTACGAATTGAAATTACGAATTGAAATTACGAATTGCAATCCCATTAAATTTCTATTACTAAACATTTATCCTGGTCAAGGATTAGAACCAACTAAGGTTAAAATTAATAAACAATTTTGAATTAGTTAAACTAGGTGGGGATAGTTAAAATTCTTTTTTAGTGTGGAAGAGTGTGCTAAATCAGTTCGACCAGCAAAAGCTAGTGAAACTAATTCTTGTAATTCATTGAATTCGACCTCTACATACAGTGGGAGGTGATTTATCGATATAATGAAGACGACTTTAATATACAAGTTTTTATTGTTAAAAAGTTTTTTTGAATTAAAAGTTTACAAGTAATAAATGAGAAGCTATTTTTGTTTACAGCTTCTCTTGACTTCTATGTTTATGTGTATATCCATGCTGTTCTACAACTGGATATAAATCAAAAGTCGCCTTTATTGTATTGTATACTCGCCTTACACTGTAGTAAAGAGTTCAGAAAAGAAATTGAAATTCTCCTAGATCAAATAATCTAAGTTTGAAATATCAAAGGATTACACCATCAGGTTGCATAAATATAGGGATTAGAAAATTTAATTTTGAGACAAAAACTCAATTACTTTGAATTAAAGCTTGTACCTGAACTAACTGGAGCAACTACTGGTAGTTCAACCACTGAGATATTGTTAAGTTTGATGAGAGAACTGGCAGATTTAGTATCAACTACAGTTCCATTCTTACCATCCTCGTCATAATAATAGTAAACATACTCATACGCGTAGTCTACATCTCCTGCACACAGAAATATTTTAATCTTTTCCTTCAATTGTCAATTTGGGAGATACAGGGTTACCCAAAAAGGATGAGACTTCATGTACAGGATTTGTACAGTCCGTTTTCTTGTATTCACGTTCAGCCAATGACTGTAAACTTGTTTCTTTCCTTGCCAAATCATTTTACAAAATATTATAACACTGCACTTAGGACAGAAGACTAGTTTAACCTTGAAATCGTCATGTTTAAAGAGTTTTAGGTCGTCTTTATTGTCTCATCCTTTGTGGGTAATCCTGTAGGCAAATAATAGAAATATTTAGAAACAAATTAAAAATATTAAAATACAAAATTTTCCGCTTCACTTTGTTACATTATTTTTGTGTTGCTTAAGCTTAATAAGGGTTTCCAATCTGAATTCTGCTGCTTGGAATTGCGCGCAAGTAAAATCCAGTTGCGGGAACCCAAGGGATTAAAATATTTTATATTTAAAAATATTTAAAACCTTGATTGTCTTTTATAATTTTTATTAGAAATATTTCCATCATTAAAAGTAAAATTCTCCCCATTTTGAAATTCTAGTTTCTACATGCACCGCTTATTATAGAAAATGAGAATCAAGTTTTCAAGTTGTTTAATGATCAAATTTCTCCCTGAATTTGTAGAATTAGAATCCTCGGCACTCGTGGCTGTCGTTGATCTGTCCAGTTCGGCATCAACAACATTATTTACTAAAATCAACAACATTATTTACTTAAATCAACAGCATTATATACTAAAATCAACAACATTAATTATGAAATCAACAACATTATTTATTAAAATCATCAATAATATTTAATAAAAAAAAATCATAATTAAAAGTTTTTTGCTGTCTTGGTACGCATTAAACAAGAAATCTATTAGTTTAAATTTTGCAAATGTAGTAATCTAATTTACTTTACTGTCAGACGGCTTCCCTTTTCCCCGTTTTTATTCTCCATTGATATTGATATTGAGATTGATATTGATATTGAGATTGAAAATAAAACTGAAATATATACGATAATAATTATAAAGATTATAATCCAAATTATGGAATCATAAATATAATAATTTGAAAAAGAACAAAATAAAATATAAAAAAGATAAAACTAAAGAAAGAAAGATGGAAACAGTTTTGTAAAAATCTAACCTAATTCTATGATATTATCTTGTTGATCTACTAACGGTTTGGTTGTAGGTAGATCAGTATCAGTATCTGAACTAGGCGTTGAAATCTCTCCTTCTCCTTCGGGAGTAGAGGTCTCCGAACCAAACTCTATTTCAAAGGTCGCCAGGTTCTCCGGTACACCTGAAATAATATAATTTTAAAGGGACTGTCAGCGAAATTTCAAGTGTTTCTCCATGCAAAGATAGCAATGCCCGATTCACAACAGTACCCTGGAAATCTTTTTCTGATCAATAATGCGGAAGATATGGTCGTATTTCTTAGATTTAAAAGCTGTTAATACTAATAATTCCTATGTATGATGAATTCCTGCAGTAGAAATATGCAAATCGCTTTTGTAGAGAAAATTGAAAATAATCAGTTTCCAAATCAAAGACTTAAATGTCTAATTCATACCTGACCAGACAAAGCTTTTAAGGTACTGTTGTGAATCGGGAATTGCCGTCTTTGCACGGGTCAGTTACAATTACTCTTACAGTTTCTTTAAGATCGATAAGATCGTGTAAAAAAATTGTAAATTCTAATTCTGGATAAACAGAATTGATTTAACTGAGTTAGGCATCTGATAATATTTTTTTTCCGCCTTTTGACCAACATTCCCGATTTATGATTCCCCCAACATAGAGAGGTTGGTTATTTAACGTCCCTTGGGACAGTTATGTAAAATAACCAACCGTTCTGCGAAGTTTTCGGGAAAAAATTTGAGCATTTTCATCTCAAAAGACACTAAAATTGTGTACAACTACTTTTCCGGGAAATTAAAAATATCACTTACCCAGGGGTTCCCTCGACCAATTTTGTCTAAAAAATTGGTCGAGGGAACCATTGGTAAAGTAATTTTCCCTTAACTTCCCTGTAAAGTAGTTGTAAATAATCATATTTAAAAGATTATGCTTAAACATATATAGATTTATTTTCGGTTGAATGAAGAATAAAACTGAGAGGCGTAAAGGACAAGGACGTTCAGCATTTTTACATTTTTTCTGGTTTCATGATTCCGTGCTCTTTGCCGAGACTAATTATTAAATGTTCGACTTTAAATGCGTATTATTAAGATTTACTGACGCATTTAGTGACAATTTATTTTTTTGCAGATCTTATTTCCTTAAAAAGAAGGTTTATAGAGGGCTCAAATCACAGTTTTATACAGGGGGGGGGGGAACCATAGTTTCAAGGAAAATGTGGACAATTTTTAGTGTTCCTTAGAATTGTATTTGTTATTTATTTCACATCTAACTCCCAGTTTATATATTTTATTGAAGAACAGTTCTCAATATTGATTTAAATCAATCTTTACTGTGTTGTATTATTGAAACTTACTGGTCCATACAAATCGATTTCTCTACAAAGCTCTATCCATCTATCTCACATCAGTCGATACAGTTAAAATATGCATTTACTATTTAAACAGGGCCCTTTTTGAATAGGCGTAATCCAACATATTTTTTAGTACTAGATTTGAATAGGCGTTATCCAACATATTTTGTAGTACTAAATTTGAATATGCGTAATCCAACATATTTTGTAGTACTAGATTTGAATAGGCGTAATCCAACATATTTTGTAGCACTAGATTTGAAGATTTCAAAGCTTGATTTGGTTTTTAAGGTCACAGTGCAGATTGCCATATGTCGTGGGAAAAAATTGAATAAAATTGAATGAAAATTTTTTTTTTGGCTTCAAAGAAATATGGAGCCTACGGGTATTATAAAATATCATTCAAATCACTTAAAATTTTTATTTATAAATCTAAATTAAAATTGACCAAATGATTGTGTATGAAAATTAACATGTATGTACAAATACAAAGAGCTTCAGTTTCCTGGGAAACTAAAAATATAAATTTAATCTGACGAAAAGTAATACAAACTTAATTTTCTGTGCAGTATCCTCTTACAGAGTTTAAAGAGGTGAAAAAGTATTGTTCTGTTCTAAAAATGGAGAGTTTGTTTTCTTGGAAAAGGATAATAAGGGTTTGATAAAAACAACAGCCTTAAGGAATCTTGGCAGGAACACTTTTCTTTAAAATATTATTAAAGAGATTGGTAACGAAACTTGAAGTGATCATTCATTTAGAAGCTTTGATAAAAAAAACTTAAATTAACCTTTATTTAAACCAATTATTATCTGAAAAATTGTTAAAAGGAACTAGCCACCAAAGGGTGATGGAATTCGACACTTTGTGACTCCAAATTTTGTACAGGCTGCGTTTGGTCCTAAAAATTTAGATAGAAGGCTGAAATTTTGCGCGCATGCAGTCTAAAATTGTGGTGATTTTTAAAATTGTAGGGATTTATATAAATTACGAAGAAAATTTGAGATCGGAGGTCATTGACCTCCACTTTGTCCTCCCTTCAATAATAAACTCTAAAAAACCATGGTATTTTCCCGTATTTTCTGAATTTATGGAAGTCAAAATAAATTTTCTTCGTGATATGCTGATGACCACAATTTGAGGCTGCATGCAAAATATCAGCCTTCTATCTCAATTTTTAGGACCAAACGAAGCCTGTAAAAAATTTGGTCACGAAGTATTGAATTGTATACAGATAGAAGAACGGCTTTAATTGGTTACTTGACTCTAACGTTAATCAATAATTGCGCACTTCTATTAGAGAGTAATGATGAAAGTCCTTTATATTTTTTTCTGTAGAAATTTTGATTGTTTTTCCATCTAGACTAATTCCGAAGTTACAAATTGAATTCAATATTCAAGATAAAGCGATATTTAAATCTATACCATTCCTAAAACTACTTTGGATCGATCCTCCAATCTGCATAAAAATGAATTCTATCCTTCCCTCACTCAGAATAATCAGAATTTTCAGTCATACTGTGTTACTTTAAAAGTTTCAATTCATCATGTATAAGAGTTAATTAAACAAATCATGTAAAAATTAATAAATCTGCATTCTGCAGTCTCAACAGCCATTAAAACTTCACCATCTATTTTAAACAAAGTAATAGTATACCCTATTGATCTTGCCACACCTGACTGCTGGTACTTCCATTATGTTCAAGTCGTCTTCGATCAACGTTTACCAATTGGCGCTAAATATGCGTGTATCTCTGCCTGATTTTATAAGTCGTTCTCAAGCAATGTCTACAATTGTTGGTGGTAAAGATGCCGCATGTTTTTTTTTCAATTTGTCAATAATTATTTTGGTTGGTTTACCTATTGGCAGTAAACTGTAACTGTACTAGAGCTTTAAAGTCGTCTTTGATATAAATTTTGGGCGGTTTAATGCCGCGACTAATTCTGCTGAAGTTTTGAGTCGTCTTTGTTAAATGTTTACCTGTTGGTGGTAAAGATGCTGCATGTAATTGTGCTGGTGTTTTCAAGGGCAGAGAGTTACATGCATCCAATAATAGAGGACTACTGCCACTATCACAGGTAAACCTGAGATACAAGATTCAATAATTATCATTTTATAGAAAACTAGCTAAAATTTTCAACGTTGCCGTTGAATTTAAATTCTTAACATTTTTTTTTTTATTTCTAACTTGAAAAACTTAATTTTTTTAGCCTATGTTACCCCCGGAATATTTATTGGTTCCTCAAAAACTGTCAACCAATTTGGAAACGACAGATTTAAAAACTTGAAAAAATTAAAACAATTAAATAAAGACAAAAGTTCCTTACCTAGAGGACCTCAGCTCTCTAAGTGGACTACCGCTTAGTGCTTTTGGGAAATAGCATCTTGGTTCAGCTTTTCCGTAATATCCGCGGTCTGTTACAAGGTTACGCAGCCATTTGGTTTCACAGTCACAGTTCAAAGGGTTTCCTGAATTTAGTTATTTAGATTTATAAAGTTAACCATGAAGTAAAACCACTGGTTCAGATTGGAAAGAATGCATTACAAATTTAAGAAAAGGGAATCGGCAATGAATACAATTTTTCAACGAGGTATAAGATCTAAATGTATTCTATTGTGTTTCAATAAAGCTAAGATTTTGTATCAGAATTTTTCACTGTTAATGATTAGTTAAATCTTTTCGTAAAAACATTTCTTGAACAGTTTACCTGATACATCAAGTGCTTCAACACTCCTCTGGATAGAAGTGAATGCGTTCTCCTTCAGTTTAAATATTCTGTTGTTGTTTAAATCCAGGCGTCTGAGAGAGCTAGTATCCTAGAATAATATGAGCCTGGATCAAAACCTGACTCTGTTTATTCCTTATGACGTATAAATGTCCATATACAGGGCTCCTCATAAAGAATGAGATCGTAAAAACAGAAACTATTAAATTATTTACAAGCCTTAAAATCAGTCTTTAATAATTTGTAAAGGAGAACCAATATAAGAAAACTGACAGTATAAATTCCGTACAGTCGTCTCTGAAGTCTCATCCTTTGTGAGTAACCAGTGAATATAATACTTGAAAAAGTCTTAAACTTCAGATATAAAAGGTTCTTTACAGTTTATAAATAATTATTTTTTATACAGTCCAGAATTTAATAAGTTAGTTGCTGCTTTTTCAGATACAAGTTAAATATTTTATTTAAAAGGATTGGAGACGGTATTTCATGTGACCCTCTATTTACAGAGATAACATACGCCCTCAGTCCCTTTATGTCTCAGCTTTCTGATTCTTAATGGATTGTAAAATTAAATCAAATATACTGGTTCCGAATAACTATACATGTACAGGGAAAACCAAACATTTCGCTTATATCTCTGACGGAATGCAAATAAAAAGATATGTAAACATAGAAATAATTTCATTTTAAAATATGTAAAATGTAAATTTGACGGATAAATTCCATATGCAGTATCTAGAGGGAATTTAATTGAAATTATAAAATTTAACAGATGAAACAAACCTATAATTCAATTTCTATATGAACCTTCATCTTCAAAACGATTTTTCGTATTATAGTTTATATATTATATTTTATATTTATTATATTATATTCATATTTTATACCGAATTAAGGACTGAATGACATTTAATTAAAGGAGTTACGATTAAAGTAAAATCGACAGATCCTTTAAACCAATTAAATTGCAAAAACCTTTTGGTTTGCTCCAAAAAATATTGTGGATTACTAATTGTTGGCACAAAATGGTGGCGTTATATAACTACACAAACAACATTGTGATTTCCCATTGGATGGCACATAAACACTATGATAATTTTTTATTGGTTTGCCAGTAAACAAAACGGTGGTTTTCTAGTGGTTCAATAATAAACAAAACGGTGGTTTCCTATTGGTTATGCAAACCGTACCTTGAAAGCTGTTCCAGCAATTTGACAGATATTATTATCATTAAGCCGAAGATGAACCAACCATTTCAGATTCTCAAACGTACGGTCATCAATAATCCTAAACAAAACTAAAATTAATAAACTACAGAGACAAAATTTAATGAATTTGAGATAGATCGCTGAACTACATACTGCCAGTTCAATTTTGAATCACCGATTCAACGTTAAGATTTCATTAGGATTTGATTCGATGATTCAAGATATAAACCAGCAGAAAGTGTTCAGTGACCTCTACACTTCATTAAATTCGGTCCGAGGTGAGACAAAAATAATCCATAAAATTAATCTTTTCGCACACATTAGCTGATTTTTTTTATGGAAACCCATGTGTACCCTGTTGGTGACATAGGCTAAAATAATTTTTTTTTTTCTTCAAAATTCAAATTTTAAAATTCTACGGGCAACGCCGGGCACTTTTTTATAAAATAATCGCTATTAAACTCTAAAGTGTTTTTGTCGCGATTTGCAACTTTCAGATTAGCATTTTTTAATTGTGAAATGTTTAACTATGAATAAATTCAATGAAAAGGAGAGGTAGCTGAACCCGTTCAAATCCTGAATCCCTGATACAAATCTTCATAAATCCTTAATTTAATTTAGAATGTCTAATTTTCTAAACATTTATCTTTTCAACTATCTTTGGAACTGTTTGTTGAATTCATAGTTTAGAATAGCAAAGGTCAATAAAGATATCATGGTGCAAAAATAAGTATGTGTGTAGGTGCATAATAATTTCCTTTAAAAACTTTTAAAAAATAAGAATTTAAAAAAAAAATTCTCAAAGAAACTAATCCCTTTATCCTAATGCAATGGTGTAAACCTATTTTTTATTTCAAATTAAATAATTTTATCTAACAGAATTTATTGATTTATCTAAGGTCTCCTACATTGGGTGGAAAATATAAAGGGATTGAAAACTAAAGTTTGAGGTAAATTCAAAATCTTTTTTCATGATTTCTATACTCAATCTTAATCTTTCTCGAAATGTTGACGTTGAAAGAGAAAACCAAGTAACTTGAGAAAACTAAAACGTTGTTTAACCTGATATCATTAAAGCTTAGATCAATTGTCTCCAGGGTCTCCAGACCATAGAACCCGTAGCGGGATAGATCCTGGAGCAGGTTGTAACTCAGGTTCAGGTTCCTATACAGTAATTAACATGATATTCCATTATTCATAATTAATAAAAATACTGAGAAATTAATGCACAATCTTAATGAATATCTATTTTATCGAACTATTATTTTTTCCACCAGGTTAGGTTTTGAGAAAACATATTATGGAAAACTGCATTAACATTAAGAAATACCAAAAACTAGGTAATCCATGTAAAGTTGCTTTTTCTTAAACAAAATATCTATAAATCTAACAAATAATATATTTTTCTTATTTCCCATTTTATTCTTTTTTAAATATTAAGTCAAAAAAGTTTGATTAATTTTTTGATCTTGAAAGGAAAATCAAAAGATTCCGGACATGATCAGCTCAAGCTAGTTTGGCGTGTTTCTAATCAACTATTTTTATAATATAGTATACTTATACTTATACTTATACTTATATCTTTAGCTTAAAAGAATAATAAGAATAGTTCCTTTACCTAATAGAGGGTATTCTATAGAAGGCACGCTCATTGATGGTTTTAATAAGATTATATTCTAGCCGTAGTTCCTTTAAAGAGAGAAGGTTTAGGAATGATTTCTCATCCAGTTCCTTGATCAGGTTATCATCAAGGTACAGTTTCTCCAGGCTAGGCAGGTTCCTTGGGGGATAGAAACATACTATCAAGCAACATAATTTTCCGAAAAAGTGTACTTCAGATTTTGGAAATAAACAAACTCAGTACCGTTTTATTGAACAATTTTGGGTTTCCTTTTAAACAAAATGTTCATTTAAAAAATATTCCAAATATATCAAAATTGAAACATTTTTTTCACACTTTTACACTTTTTACTTCTTATACTTTTTATCGTTATTTTGTTCTTGATATTAAAAATCATTCGTGAAATTAATTATTAGTATTTTTAGAATTATATCAAAGGAGTTGGAACGTAGGAAGATAGTATTATGAATATTAATATTATCCGATTATTATGTAAATGTACGTTTTTTTCTTTAAAAACGTCGATCAACAATTTGTGTGAAGGAAGCGTAGAATATTTTTTTTGTAAAACATTTTTCCTTGTATTATAAAATTTAGTCATTTTATAAAAGCTTGAGTAAAAAAAACTAAAAAATTACCTAAAAGTATCGGTTAATATAGTAGATATTCCATTTTTCGATAGATAAATACGTTCCAGGTCCCATAGATCTTGGAAGGAGTTCGGTTCAATCCTGACAAAAAAAATATTTCTAAACTTTTGTTGATGTTTGTCAAAAATTCGCATTAAATATGAAATTTTTGACAAGTTTTATTTGCTGTTTTTCAAGACTCACCCTACATATTTGCGATGAACACGCTTAACATTTTAAAAAAAATATTTCTTTTTCATTGATAATTTAAATATTTGAAATTAGAATTTTTAACAAAATTTACAAAAATTTTAATTCATCTAACTCTCTTCTGCTGTTCAAATTTGATTCTTAAAACTGGTCTTATCTAATATCCCCCTACTTGATACCTGAGTTACATAACATTTATCAAATATTCTCCCCTTCCCTACCTGATAACTGAATTATATAAGGTTTTCCAATATTCCCCTACCTGATAACTGAATTATATAACCCTACCTGATAACTGAATTATATAACAGTTTTCCAATATTCCCCTACCTGATAACTGAATTATATAACAGTTTTCCAATATTCCCCTACCTGATAACTGAATTATATAACAGTTTTCCAATATTCCCCTACCTGATAACTGAGTTATGATCTAGATGAAGTGAGATGAGACGAGGAAGGTTTTTAAATGCTCCTGATTTAATAGAAGGTAGATGGTTGTAGCTTAAATCCAGAAACTAGAAAAAAATATGCATATTTTAAAATTTTAAACAAAAATATAGAGGTAAGGTTAGGATAAACCTTCTTTATGAAACTGCAATTCTTTTGCGTTTGAGAAAAAAATTAGATTCACCATGTTCAAAGTCTGTAACTCGTTCAATTTATGATAAAAAAGATTAATCTTCACACAAATCATATCTTTAAATCTCTTTTAAAATTTTATTATCGCCATTTTGAATCTTATTTTATTTAAATTCTAAATTTTTTTTTAAATAACGTTTTTGAAAATACCTGAATGAACACTAAATAGAACTGCTTACCTTGAGTTCCGGCATGTTTACAAATGCTTCTCCTATGTCAACTATTGTATTGTTTGAAATATCCAAGGTGGATAACCGGTCCAAGGATCTAAAATCAACCAACCACAAAGGGAATAATATGGCGTGAAAATTCAAAATTCAAAATGGGGGAATTTTTAAAAATAGTTCATTTGGTCATTAAAACATGGCATCGAATAAATTTTATTTAGAATCAAGGAAGCTGGACTCAAGAAGCGGATGTTAAACCTAAATATCAAGAAGAATTGGTTCACACTGACGGTTTTGTCCAAACATACTTTTTTTCGTTTCATAATTGGATTCTCTAAGAATTTTGGCACATTTTAAACGTTGAAAGATTTGAAAATTTTGTTCTATTTTAACAAAATTAAACATTTTCGTTTATATTTTTTGTATATCTGCTGTAAAAAAACTTACTAAAGGAATCTTGAATATATTATATATCACATAATGTTTGTTTTTATATCAAAATAGATTCTTAAAAAACTATTTTGTTTTGAATGGTTGGTTTTCCTAAAGGCCTGGAACGGAAGGGTAGTTATGTAGTTATCACTGTAATATTTGTTATAAATATTAGGAAAGTTAAAATTATCTTTTTTCTCATTTTCTCCCTTTTTTTGTTTAAATATTTTTAATATTTATCATTGTTCACATTATTTATTATTCAAGTGTGAAGAAATGAAATGAAATTAAGTAAACAGGTCTTCTCAGGAGAATATTTGTAATTAAAACTGCCAGATCATGTCGGAAAATTAAAAAGTTTAAACCATAATGTCATCATTTAACATTAAAAAGTAGGCCCATAAGACATAGGCTTAAAACGAAAGGACATCTTTTCTTGTTCGTGATAGGTTTGTTCATAAAATACATTATTATACAACAGACTCATATATCTTGCAGATTGTTTATCAATGCTGTTTAACAAAACGATGTTTTTGAAACAAAATTGTAGACCTCAAACTACCAATTCATAAAAATCTAACAGATCAAATAGAATTTAATAAATGTGAGCTATAGGTAGCTAAACTACATACCGCCAGTTCAGCGACATAACTGTAATTCATGAAATTCAGTCCCAGGTATCGAATATTAAGGATAAGAATATTAGAGTTTAACGCACGTGTTAATTAAGTTTCACGTACTACTTAATACTCATTGGTCATATTGGCCAATCTATCTTTCTACAATGAAATCTAACCTGAGATTTAGCTTCATAAGCCCAATAGCAGGGTCTAGAGAGGCTCCCACAGTACTGATCACATTTAAACTCAAGTCCAAGGATTTGAGGCCTGCAAGGTCCTAGAATACAAACAGTTTTATTAGAGACCAAGGAATCCATTTTGTGGGATTAGAATTTCAGGTTCTAATGATAATTTTGTAAACTGTGTCTTTTAGGAACTGAGCGGTGTCCAAACTTTTATCTTTGCAACATAAAGTGATTGTAAAACCCATATGGGATAACTTTAATGGCGAGATCAAGCATAGATGATCCTTAAATTTAAAGCTGCCCAATTTGGATCACGAGATCAAGTGTCTAATATTAACAAAAGTTCCGATCTCTGATGTCGTATAGACATGATAAGTTGTTTTTTAATGTTCTTATTTATCAAAATAATAATATCGAAAAAAAGCAGGTTTTTAAATTTCGAGTATTTTGATAAAATTGTATAACAGAATTTTAGGGATTGAATTGAGTCTTTGTCAAAAACTCTGATTGTCTAATCCTAAATCTTTGCGACCCTATGTTGTAGACCTGGAATATTTCAAACTAAAAGTTTTGTAATATCAAGACAAAAATTTATACCATCAGGTTGAAAAGATATAAGGATTATAAAATTTAAGTTCGTGACAAAGAATTGAATATTTGTTCTACCTGGAAAGCAAGATCATGAATGTCTTCTATCCTGTTATCATGAAGATCAATGAGTTCAAGTTTAACCATACTCTAAGTACATTCTCTTTATTCGCTTTAAAGGGAGTGTTTGCGAAAACAAAAGATGATACTTTTATGAAAACTTTTGAAGTATATTGTTCTGAGGGTTGAATTTGGTCTTTTGTCTAAAATAGAGTCTTCAAATAATGTTCTAAATTATTGTGTATTGTGTAGTTCAATGTGATGATATGTAAGTAAGGTGGGGGGATAGATTTTGCGTACATTTTACCGTATGATATAAAACATAAATTTCCCTAGAAGGGGATCATTTATTTGGCGTACAGTCCCGGTTTGTCTCATATCGTAACAGGTCAGACACTTGTTCACCATTTTTAACTTAACTTCCTAGAGGCCCATAATATGTCACAGGAAAATGGGAATACATCCCCCCCCTTTCATCCCCCTCACCTTATATACTCACATTGGTCTAGTTTATCCAACTAGATTAACTGAAGAAACGGTTAGAAAACACACAAAATAAAAAAAATTTATAAAGAAAAAATATAATCAAGATCAACTTAGGTAGAAATTGTTGACAAGGGTTTCAGGAATAAAGATAGACAAGAAATGTCAGAAACTGTAATTGTTTACCACTATATACTATACAGGGAAATCAAATTATTTCTTTGGCCAAATAATAAGCTACTTTTAGATTTTACTTTACCAAGGGTTCCAATTTTGCCTATAATACTCCTAGAGCGCGGCAAGGCGTGTTTAGTAGGGCTAATTGGTTAGGGGAATCATGGTTAAATTAAATTTGTAATTTCCAAAAAAAGTATGTCGGTCACAATTTTATCATCTTTTTAAACGAAAATGCATGAATATTTCCGTGAAAATAATGTAGAGCGGGATGTTATTTTAAACTTAATTGTCCCAAAGGCCGGACATTTAAGTAACTTAACATCCCATAGAGTAAAAAAGTATAAAATGAACTAGGGGATTGGAAATAGAAATTAAAAGAATTAGACAACGATGAGGATGACATCGATAAAAAAATTATTGGTGTATTCGTATCAAAATACCAACAATACTTTTATCAGATTATATAAAAGGTTGAAAGACATTTCTTAGGAAAGCATTTACTGGCGAATAATGAAAAAAACATGAATAAAGAGGTTATGTATTCCTTAAAAGAATCCTGATCTAAACTCTGAATACTGTTTTTCCGGAAGATTAGTCTGTCCAGATTCCGTAGTTTCCGCATCATTGCAGACGGAAATTCCAATATAAAGTTGGAAGAAAAGTCCAGATATCGCAAACTAAATATAATACTAATTATTCTATAATCCACCATATTGGATTTGTACTTTGGGTTCGCCATTGGTTTAATTCTTTAAGTCAACATTGGATTTATAATTTAAGCCCTCCATAATTTTGTTCTTAAGGTCCACCATATTAGTTTTATAAAACTTTAAGTCTACTTTATAAAAATTTATGAAAATGGTACTATGAGTCCGCTATATCAAATTTGCATTATTTTAAGTCCGTTATACTGGATTCACACTATAGATCCGTCATATTCAACTTGCAGTTTGAAGCCGCCATACGTTTGTATTTTAGGTCCGCCATATTGGATATGTACTTTAAGTCCGCCATATTGGATTTGTACTTTAGGTCCGCCATATTGGATTTGTAATATTGGATTTGCAACGAATGTCTACTATATTAATTTTGATCGTGGATGAGTCCACAATTTTGAATATATATTGTCCATATGGTAGATATCTTATTTCTACCTATTAAACTCTGAAAAGAGATGAGAGGACACCAGCTGTATTTGATTCTTGGCCAGGGACAAAAATTCAAGCCTAAAAAAGTAATTTTTCAAATTAAATTAAAAATCTATACTTTTATGTGTAAAAAAAAGTTTGCATTGTAAAACCTACTTGTTCTGATCAATGAAGGTATGGTCTGAGAGAGTAACCAGCTCATTATTACTGGCGTCTAATTCATACAGACGAGTTAATCCAGACATCAGCTCAGGACTAGGCAACATTAGACAATATAGGAAATATAGGACAATATCTTAGACAATATTAGACAATATAAGGCAACTTTAGACAACATAAAAACAACATTTAGACAATAGTAGACACAATTAGGCAATATTAGACAATATCAGAAAATATTTTAGACAATGTTAAATACCAGTATGAAAATAGTGTACATCAATAGACAAAATTGTACAACATCAGAAGTTATTAAACAATATTGTATAATACAATACAAATTTTTAGCAAGTTTTTGTTAAGATTAGACAAAATTAAGCATCACATGTCAATATCAAAGAACAAGAGACAACATTAGACAACAGCAAACAACAATAAACAACAAACAACAGTAAACAACAAAGGACAATATTAAACAACACATGGATAACATTATACATAACTAGACAACATTAAACAAAATATCAGACAATATTTGACATTGTTAGACAGAATTAAATGCAATTCATACAATAATAAATAACATTCGATATTTCCAGACAACATTATAACATTACAAGAGAATACACATTGTTACCCAATTTAGTCAGTATTTGACAATATTTGACAATATTTGACAATATTTGACAATATTTGACAATATTTGACAACACAGCTTACAAATATCAAGACGAAATTGTTAAATTTAAACATTTGTAAAAAAACGTTGTCTAAAAAGACACATTAATCTTGATAAAAGAACAGGAAGCTATGAACAGACATAAATAACAATAAAGTAAATGTTATGTCACGGATATATGAACATAAAGCTCTGATTCTGGTTTCATTAATCCTTTTGCAGAGTATCGTATTCATACAACGTAATTGTTTCTTATTTACTATTTATATTTCAGATGTTTAAGAAAGTGGCGATGTAATTTCATGCTATTTCGTTTAAAAAATTGCACACCCGATTCAGAACGATACCCTTCGAACCCCTGGCCGAGCAAATATTATTTAGCTATCCTCCTTTTTTCAAATTGCGGTTCTCTCTCAAAGTGAATTGCGGATTTAAACAGCAGACACATGGAAGGAAAATGAAAGAATGTATTTGCATAAAACATCTATTACTAAAATATTGTTAATAAGATGAATAAAGGGACTCTTGTAAATAGGTCAAAAGTCTTTTTAAAAATCTACAAGAAAAATTTGAAAAATGATTTCTCTCCTGACAGGTTGGAATGAGTCTTCAGCCATCTCCGTTATCCCGTTCTGAGCTAGGTTCAGCCTTCTCAGGGAGCCTAGAGAACCTAGGAGACTTCGGTCTATCCTACTCAACTTGTTCTCGGATAAATCCAGAATCTAGAAAACAACTTAGCATAGAGAATAGAATATATATTAGAGGGGAATTCACTAGAGAACAACTGAGCATAGAGAAAAGAATATATATTAGAGGGGAATTCACTAGAAAACAACTGAACATAGAGAATAGAATATATATTAGAGGGGAATTCACTAGAAAACAACTCAGCATAGAGAATAGAATATATATTAGAGGGGAATTCACTAGAGAACAACTGAGGATAGAGAAAAGAATATATATTAGAGGGGAATTCACTAGAAAACAACTGAGCATAGAGAATAGAATATATATTAGAGTGGAATTCACTAGAAAACAACTGAGCACTTTGAACTCCCTTTCAGGCTGAAAGGGACTGAAAAAATGCATACCGAGAGATTCTTTAAATTCCTCTCTAATATATATTCTATTCTCTATGCAACTGAGTCTTTGTCACAAAATAATTTCATAATCCCCATATCTTTGCAATACTTTAAGCTTAGACTATTTGATATAACAGAATTCAAGGTTTGTTTGCGACATTGGGTTGCAAAGATATAGCATTGAGAAAATGAACTGTAAATATACCACATGGCTTAACTTAAACGTCTAAAATGTTATTTGCTTACATCAATTTATCAGATGAAAATTTCGTAAACAGACACTTAGTTTTTAATTATTTTAGAAATCGATAGAAGAAAATTTTAGCAGAATTTGTTCAAAAAAATTTAAGTAAAATTTGTCCTGTTTTTCATCACGTACATTTGATATAAATCCACTGGCTGGCTTACTAATTATTTAATCAAAGTAAAACAAATATCAAAGGGAATAAATAGTACATCTACATACTTTAAATTCCATGGATGAGCAATAGAAAAGCAGGAAATACTAAATGAACAGAAGGAACTTATAAAAGAGATAAGAAGACTTCTAGTTTCTGTTATTAATATTATTTATATAAATGTTTGTACCGCATTTACATTATACAGTCAGTCTTCAAGATTGACAATATCCACACAAAGGCTCCAACCTCTGCTAAATTTTGAATGTAAACCCGTTGGTATAAAAGTTTATTTAAAATCTTGAATAATTATTAGATTTTCTTTACTCTGCCAGAGCTGAAAACTTTAGAACGAGATATCCTTAATCCCGATTACTTAATCTGAGTATCCAATGGATACAATTTTGTTTTTCTTCTTGAACCGTTCTTTCTTGGATAAAGGAAAGAGAAAAATCATAAACCGTTTTTTTTTAATTAGGAAGTCCCTCCCGTTTCTGTATATTAATATTAAATGGCGCGCAAAATTTCAAATTTATCTGCTTTTTATATGCGACTCTAATTGGTTGAATTTTATACGCTTTATAGGATACAAGTACAAGTTTAGGTTACTATCGATATTAAGAAAAAGATAGGATCAAGCATTAATCTCGATATCCACCATCCTAAAGTTGTCAGCTAAGATTACATAAGAAAAGAGAAAATGTTATGCAATTTATCCTGTCAAAATGATTAGTTCGAAGGTCAAACTAATCAAAAGCTTGAGTTTGATTGATGATGATCGAGTCACACTGTGCGATTTATTTTTAGCTTAACCTTGATTTAAAAATACTCTGTTGATTTTTAAACAATAATAATATTTGTCTAGTGTAGCTCCCCCCCCCCCCCTTTTGCAAGGTTAATATACACGCTTCAAAGCTTTAATTCAGGGATATATAGCTATTCTGTACTTTCCGTAATTTCTCAATATTTTTTACAAAATGCACAATTTTATCAAAGTTAATTTCGTTTTTTCATAATTTTAAAACATAGGTTTAAAATTTAGTTTATTCTCGAAAAGACCAAATCCATTTGTTTTTTAATGTGAATGAAAGTTTCGACATGAAAAACTCCTTTTAAGTCAAATTAACGGTTATTTTACGTTATCTTAAACATATAAACGGCTATTTTTAAAAAGCTAAATTGATATTTTACAAAATTAAATCATCCTTTTTTCAAATAAGTCGAAATTGTTATGAATCCCCCTGGTCTAGTTGAACACGGTTTCTTCAGATTGTATAAGTTATATCGCGTCTATCCAGTATACAAAGATATCTAGAAACGAACCTGAAGATTACGAAGGTTGAATACATTTCCGTCTAGATTCTCACTGGTGAGACGGTTCCTACTCAGGTCTAACTCCAGGAGAGTCGGCAGGTCAGCAAATGCGTCCTGAAATAAAGGGATAGGTTGCAAAATTTAAAGAGACCAATGAGGAGGTTGTGAAAACACTTGAATAATACAGAATTAACACATTTTAACACATTACTCCGTGAACAAAAATTAAAGCCAAGAATTTACTCCGTATATGTTTTGGTGTTGAAAAGCAACAGTTTTAACATGTATGGTGGATTTCTTGAAATAATACTTAGAGTCGCTTTAAGTACCTTAGCTAGACCGGATATCTGGTTCCAGCCAAGGACTAGCTTCTCCAGGGTAGGATAACCTCTGAGAGCTCCGTAGGGTATATCCTCGATCAGGTTGAGACCTAGATCTAGAACTCGGAGAAGAGGAACTGAACCCTGCAGAAAGCTCACATCGGATAAACGACTAAGGATATTATTCAATTCAAACATGAAATGGCCAGATAATTTTAATAAAAAAAGAAAGCTTTAACAAAAATTTTGGGATTCATTAGTCATTAGTCATTAAGGTTCAAGGACGGGGTTTCAGTAAAACATCGTTGAGAGATTTATATATACTTTTAAAATAAGCCAGCTTGGAAACCCAGCTTATCTTAGAATAAAAGCCGATCAACTCAACTTCAAATTTTAAACCAAGCTATAATAACACTTTTGTGGTTCTAACGAGTTCTAAAATCAAAATTTGTGTCAAATCTGTTAAGAGGGTTACAAGTGATGATAAGGGATATACAAACAAAGTACTGGAAACCCCGAGATAACTTCTATGTACAGTGATAACCAGAAAACTCTGAAATAGGAAAACGACTTTTTTAATCAAGTTATAACTTTAAATAGTCCAAAAAGCATTAGAGACAGGAAATGTACGATGAAAACCTACACATTTCACTAATTTATTGATCTTATAATAGCCTAATAAAAATATTTGCGGTGCATGAACATCAAATACAATTATATATTGCTATAATGTCGTCTTTCAATTCTATGGTTTTTTGTTTATCACTGTAAATATAGTTAAATGTTAAGATGACGATTTTATTTCCTTCAAGCAATTAATTAAAGGGAAATACAGTTTAAAATGTGATTCATTAACTGATTGACAATATCCCTAATCTTGTTGTCGTGTAGATCTATTTCCATGAGCTGCGGTACATCCAAGAATATGTCGCTGTGAAAGCTTCTGATATCATTGCTCCTTAGATCCAACTTTTTCAACCTAAGTAAAAAATGGGATTTATTTTCTTGTGGTTTTTAACAAATATTTTTGTTTATCGAGTTTGATAGTTCTTTTGTCGTTAGAACTGACGCGGGTCAACCCAGACCGAAATATATTTTCAATAAATGTGGAACATCTACTTTTTTTTACTCTACAGAGGTTTGCTCCATCACCATCACCGAATTTAAAAACTTGATGTGGTCTTGCTTAGCCGTACTCAGGCTTATACCCAAGGGCTTTAGATTTTAAAATTTCAGATTTTTATTTTAGCGTGATCTCCTTTTTCGTTTTTATTTTAATTATTTTTAAAATAAATCACTGTTTAATTGTTTAAAAAGTCTCTACATAAACACAATTCATGAACCCTAAGTCGTGGTGTTTAAACACATTACAAAACAAATATTTTGGAAATTGATAAAGCTTTTGGATTAATAACTTCTATTCTATTCTTTATTCCTGAACTTCAACTCCCAAAGAGTTTGACATTTCTGCATATTTTTATCTTTCTAATGGAAAATTGAAATTCATCTCACTTTAAATGATTAAAATAGTTTGAGTGTATTTCAATCGATTTTTTTGTAGTGTATCGCAGTGATCATTTCACATAATATAACAAGGGACCGAATTTAATAATTGAGAAAGGTCGCTGAACTACCTGGCACCGGTTAAAATCTTAAATGACCGATTAAAATTCTCACAAATCTTTAACTTTGAACCGGTGATCCAAGACTTGAACCAGCGGTAGATAGTTCAGCGACCCAGCTCAAATTTCAGTCCCTTGTTTGGTTGAAAAGGAGTTTCATATCTCTACATCTTTGCAACCCATTGTCGTAGACCTTAGCTATTTCAAACTATGAATTCTTTTTGATCAAATGATGTGAGTTTGAAATATCAAAGGTATACACCATCGGATTGACAAGATATAGAGATTAGAAGATTTGAGTTTGTGGCAAAAACTCATTTCCTTTGATTAAGCAATTGGTGATTTCGTGACAAAAGCAAAATGAATGAACTAAGCAAGAGTATTATTATTAAGATGAACATTTTGAAAGGAATATATTTTTCCAGAATAAATCAAGGTTATATAGTATACAGAGAGTTCCATTTTATATTGGTTTATCTCCAAGCTTTAGCGCTAAATGATTCCTTTTCAAATTTTATTCTGCTTAGTTCCTTAAATCTTAATTTATAGCTATAAACGCTCCAATATGATGTGGGACCCTGTACATGATTTAATGATCGAGGGGATGGACATTTGATTTTTTTAAACCTAGTTTTTTGGCAATATCAGCGAATATTTTAGAAAAATTTAAGACATGGACAATGGACATTTTTATCGATAATTATAAACGTTTGCAAAAAAATACTTTTTAAATACTGATTTTTAATGTTGTTTAAACATTGGAAACACCAGGGTAGAATCCGACAAGAAGGTCAAATTTTCACTGTGATCCAAAATGTGCATTGTGCACGTAAAAATCAGTCTTTTAAAAATTTATTGGGTGTCTCGTAACTCTTGTCATATCAAGTGATCGTTATCGTTGCTTTTATTTGAAAACCTTTTCTTTTCGTGTGTTACGTAAAAGAAATTTTTCAGATATTACTATTTTTATTGATCATTTTTTAGTGTGACCTTCATCGTTTTAGTTTTTCATAATTTATAAAAATAACTCCATCCCTTACTGTTAGCTGGATTTTTTAGATTGAAAGCGACATTAAAGGGACTTAAAGGGTCCTTTGAAACCTTTATCTTATCAAAAATGTGAAGAAACAGCCGTTTTTCTGCAAGTTTCTCCAATGCTTCTTATGAAGAAGGAATGCGTAAGTCACTTACGAAAAGAATCCGCAGTTGAAAAAGAACATTTTGAAGAAACAAAATATTGATATCTAATTTATAATTGATCAGACAAAGTTTTTAAGTGTACCAGCTGTATATCGGGCATTGCCATCTTTGCATTGAGGGTCTTGAAATTACGCTTACAGTCCCTTTCTGTCACTTTAATGTCCCTTTAATGTCCCTTTCATGTCCCTTTAATGTCCCTTTCATGTCCCTTTAATGTCCCTTTAATGTCCCTTTAATTCCCTTTTAATGTCCTTTTAATGTCCCTTTAATGTCCCTTACATGTCCCTTTAATGTCCCTTTAATGTCCCTTTAATGTCCCTTTCATGTCCCTTTCATGTCCCTTTAATGTCCCTTTCATGTCCCTTAAATTTAAAAACACTACTCATTTTGTTTGTTTTAAGATAATATTACCTCGGAAGTCTAGTGTCCCTTTAATGTCCCTTTCATGTCCCTTAAATTTAAAAACACTACTCATTTTGTTTGTTTTAAGATAATATTACCTCGGAAGTCTAGTGAGAGCTCCTCTCTGCATGAGAACTATATTATTGTTTGATAAATCCAATTCCTCCAGACTTTTAACAATAATATTTAAATATTTTTATAAAAATAAATGTTTTAAAGAATTTAATATTTCTAGAGGATAAACGTTTCTTAAAAATACATATTTTTAGAACTAAGAAGTTCACATTTCAAGAAAATCAGAACTGTAACTAAATAGTTTTGCTAAAAAGAAAAAGAAATAAATCACAGTAAAAATTCCCCCGCAGTATTGCATACTTAATATTTCTTTTAAATTTATGGCACCAGATATTTAATTTGAAACTGAGCATTACTTTAATTTTAGAATTAGTTCTTGATAATTTTAAATGTATCTCAACATTAAATAAAAATAATAATAAACAGTAATTTCTGCATCTAATAAACAACAAAAAGAGGAATTTTGAAAAATATTTATTTGATTTCCTGTTAATATCTACGAAGCTTCTTTCTCTTAGTTTATCCATTCTGTGAACCAAGAAAAATAATGAGTTTTTTATTTTAATAAAATAATAATTTTAATATAAAAATTAGATTTTTTTTGATTTTTTGTCATTATGATTTCTGCCTGTTATTGCTGATGTCAAGTGTTTTTATTGTTTTGATGACTTTAACCGCCTGACCAACAATAGATGCATCACCTAGAGTAATAACAATATTAAACACCATATCCTAGAGTAACAACAATATTAAACACCAAATCCTAGAGTAACAACAATATTAAACAACATATCCTAGAGTAATAACAATATTAAACATCATATCCTAGAGTAGCAACAATATTAAACATCATATCCTAGAGTAACAACAATATTAAACACCATATCATAGAGTAACAACAATATTAAACAACATATCCTAGAGTAACAAAATATTAAACACCATATCCTAGAGTAATACAATATTAAACATCATATCCTAGAGTAACAACAATATTAAACAACATATCCTAGAGTAACAAAAATATTAAACACCATATCCTAGAGTAATACAATATTAAACATCATATCCTAGAGTAACAACAATATCAAACAACATATCCTGGAGTAATAAGAATAGTATCAACATATCCTAGAGAAATAACAATATTATCAACATATCCTAGAGTAACAATAATATTATCAACATATCCTAGAGTAACAACAATATCAAACAACATACCCTAAAGTAACAACTTTACCTTTTCCCTAATTCATCATCACTCTTATGTTTAAAATGTACAATGTAAATTATTTTTATTTGCAATTCCCATTAGTTTAAAGTGGGCCAACCAATTAAAACAACCTACTCTGGTTAGGCGGGTCCAAACTACACAGTAAATTGTGATTTTTTCATTTGTACTATCTCGTGCTTTGTAGTTGAATAAAAAATATGAAAAAAATATGATCAACAATATCAAGCAACAACATATCCTAGAGTAAAAATAATATCAAAAAACATATTCTAAAAAATAAAAAATAAAGAAGAAAAAAAGAAACATACTAAGGACTAAGGTGAAAATTATATAATTTTCTTTTTCTGAACAGAAAAAAATATTAGTAATACTCTGACATAAAAATAATATTTGATATCATCTTGAATATAAGAAGCATCTTTATAAGGGTTTTAAAAAAAGGATATTTTTAATCCTGATGGTTTAGAAAAAAACCTTGTTTATTATGATATAACTTTTTATGAATGATTACATTCAATACAGGAGAAGTGAGCATGTAACAGATGCGGAGAATAAACAATATTAAAATAATATCTTTAAGAGATAAACATGGATAGCTCACTAACCTTTAGAATTGTATTCCAGGATAGACTAATGACTAACCTATTGAATTGTGTGCCAGGATAACTTGTTCCAACTGCTCCATGTACCGGAACGACCTGGACAACAAAGAATTGTATTAATTGTAAACTAAGGTCAGAATATTTACATTAGAATACGATTATCCATGTAATCATAAAGCAGAGACTTTGCAGACGAATTTGTAAATTTAATTTACCTTAAAATACTTAAAATTTGGCTTTGCTGCTTTGTTAGAATTTGCGAAATATATATGTTTTGTGACTTATGATTTCATATTTGAGTAGATCTTGGTATTTCAATGGTTTTAGGTCCTCTACCTGTATACTTTAAATGCTCTAATCTTTTGCTAAAAAATTTATTAAATGCCACATATTATTTTTAGCCATCTCTGTATCTAGAACAAATCCGGAGGGCCCCCTGAGGGAGGGGGTGAGAGCCCCTCCCTAAAAATCTTACTTTCCTAAGGAACTTGCGTTTCCGCTAAAATTTCAAATTCAACAATAATTTCATTGGGACAAATAAATTTTATTTAGCGCAATTTAAGCGCAATTTTTTTAGCCCTCCCCCTAGATGTTTTATTTCATAGACCCCTGACTGGCATGAAGGGTGAAAAGTGTCTGAAGAGGTTTTTAACAAAAAAAGTTGAATTCTAAAAATTCTGCGCAAGACAATTTGACTCAATGTAAGAATTACGTTATCAATATATGTAAATGTGTCTGTTTGTACTTTGTACTGTGTGTTTTTATATCCAACATATGTTGTAACGACAAAATAGATCTGGCCCGCATTTTTTGTGGTAACTTACATGACCCCAGGATAGGTTTATGACACCGGTCAAAATAAAAATTTTGCGTCAACAATATTTCTTTCAAACGAAAACGAAATAAGAAACTTTTTACTGTTATAGATTAAGAACAAAAAATCATAGAATTAACAAAATAGGATAAATATAAAAGTTGAATACCATCTTATATAATTTGATGCTTTAAATCTATTATCTAATAATTGGCGCACGAGTGCAATTAAGTTTGTAATATTTTAGATAAAATTTTCCATCAGCTATGTACATGATAAGTTATAATGTTTTATAAAACATTTAAAAAAAAAGCGATTTAACAAGCCAGCAGTATTCTTAAATATTTACTATCGATAAACTTTCATAAAACAATAAAAACGTAAAATGTCCGATGTCCATAAATATTTCTTTATTTCTTCCTTTTATGTTTAAAAATTCCAGATTGAATATATGTTGTTACCTAAATGTGTCTGTTTGTACTGTGTGTTTTTATATCCAACATATGTTACAACGACAAAATAGATCTGGCCCGCATTTTTTGTGGTAACTCACATGACCCCAGGACAGGTTTATGACACCGGTCAAAATACAAATTTTGCGTCAACAAAATTTCTTCCAAATGAAAACGAAATAAGAAACTTTTTACTGTTTTAGATTAAGAACAAAAAATCATAGAATGAACAAAATCGGTAAATATAAAAGTTGAATACCATATGTAATTTGATTCTTTAAATCTATAATATAATAATTGGCGCACAAATTTTTAGATAGAATTTTCCATCAGCTACGTACATGATAAGTTATAATGTTTTAGAAAACACTTTAAAAAAAGTGATTTAACAAGCCAGCAGTATTCTTCTATATTTATTATTATTAAATTTTCATTAAACAATAAAAACGTAAAAGGTCCGATGTCCATAATTATTTCTTTATTTCTTCCTTTAATGTTTGAATATTCCAGATTGAATATATGTTGTTACCTAGGATGGATCCAGGAAATATCGTTGCCTGTAAAGTTAGCAAGGAGTAGAAAAGGCAGGTTTTCTAAAAATAAATTTGAATCTGAAAACAACCTCTCATTCCAAATAAATGTGGGACAGAAAATAATAAAATTTTAAAATAATAATATTTCTAAGATTTTAGTCGACATAAAATCTTTATCCTAATCCTAAAATGATAAAAATATTGGATTTTAGAACGTGACACTTCTATTTTATGAGAAATGAAAAAAAACTTGACTTGTCATCAATTGAATTGAGTCCTTGCCAGAAATTGTAGTTCCTATATCCTTTCAATCTAATGTTTTAAACCTTAGATATTTCAACTATGATTTCTGCTGTTAGATCAAATATTCTAAGTTTGAAATATCAAAGGTTTTACACCATCAGATTGCAAAGACATATTTATAGTCTAGAAAATTTGAGCTTGTGGCAAATATTCAATTCCTTTGAGAAAGGTTGACTTGGGTATTTGGAATCAAGTTCAGTATATTCATGCTTTTTTAAAAAATATAACCTCCAATCCACTATTTGCTTTATTACAATATTAAATACACATAAATGAAATGTTGTCCTTCTATTCCACGGGTTTCTGGTTCTCAGTGTTTGTTTTATTCATCTTCAAAAAGCAATACGTTTTAATATCCATGAGAATCTATATTGATATTTATGTGAGATACACTTTGAGATGAATATATTTGAATCTCTTTTTTCTTTTTCTGGTTTAAAAAGTAAATCAAAATCCAGGAAAGAAATAATTTGATAGAAATATTTCGTTTTAAGTTTTCATCATAAAGCGATAAACTTTTTTTTTTAAAGATAAAGATTAACAGACTTAGCATATATTGAATCAATCCTTTGAAAATATGCTTGAAAGAAATATTTCTGATAGAATTTTCAGATGGTTCATTCATATTACTATTTTTTCCTATTGATCTACATTCTACAAATTTAAAATTAAATATTCTCCAATGAAAACTTTTGAATTTAGGAGTTTTATTTTGGAAATAAATATCATTGGTCGAATACAATCCTGGTTGAATACTTGTTGATCTCTCATTGGCCGGATTCATTTAGCTCTGTCCAATGAGAGATCGGTAAACGAAACGGTTAAGGTTAAAATAGAAAAAAGAAAAAAGAACGACCGAAATCCTCAAAAATATGTAGCTTAGTTTGCAAATATTTTACCTAAAATTCCAGTCTCAAGTCTTTTGAGTTTAGAGTTTGTCACGTGCAGATACCTAAGCCCTGGAATACAAATATTTTAGAATTTTCCAGGGAAATGTTGGAATAAATTTATGAACTAGATTATTCTAAGAATAAGTACCTGGCAGATTTTTCAACGTAAAATCCTGAATGTCTGTTATATTGGATCCGTCGATTTTAAAGAGCTTTAGCTTCTGCAAACCAACCACACGTGGCATCTCAGTTATCTCTGAGCTAAAATAGATATTTCTAATTTAGCTTCTGCAAACCGACCACACATGGCATCTCAGTTATCTCTGAGCAAAACAGATATTTCTAATTTACAGAGTCAATGTGCAAATCAATTTCTGAAATCAGGCAAAGGGCAACAAATATCATCTATGCAACCTGGTGGGGTAAACTTTAAAATTAAACTTAGACTATAGAGATTAAAAAATATATTGTGTGGAGAGGAATAAGTTCCTTCATAGAATATTTTTTTATTCCTGCAACTGGGATCTCATTGCTAATTATAAAAATGTTTAGACGTTCTCGGAATTGCGTAAGTTCAGTTTCTCTATATATCTCGCAATATGTAGATTGTTGATTTAATATATTTATTTAAATAATATAATTTTAACCAGGCTCTAAATTATCTATTTGATAAATTTATTTTATCTATTTTCTTCATATTTTAGGTATGTATATATTCCATTTCAATTCAAGATTAATATCAAACAGATTTACAAGCTATGAATCACAACAGTACCTTTTAACCTTTAAATCCGCGAGTTGTTTAGTAAAAAAAACATAATCGCAAGCTTCATATAAAGATTTTGATACTGCTGTGAAATATTGGTGGCACTTTTTATAGAGTGTAACTCAAAATTTAGAAAACAGATTTTTTTCTGCATTAAAATCTTGGTACCAGTACAAACGTCGGACGCACAAACGTCGGACGCCACAAACGTCGGACAGTTCAAACGTCCATGTATCCAGACTTTGTGAGATTATGAATTTTTAACAAAAAAAATTGGGAATTTTTTGAGAGAAAATTGCGAATTTACAAGAATTTTAATATGAAAATTCAAATATATTTTTTCCTCCTTAGTCCGACGTTTTTCCTTATAAATGTACCCGTCCGACGTTTGTACAGGTCCGACGTTTGTACTGGTCCGACGTTTGTACATGTCTGACGTTTGTACTGGTCCGATATTTGTATTGATCCGACGTTTGTACTGGTCCGACGTTTGTGGGTCCGACGTTTGTACTGGTATCAAAATCTTTTATCTCTATTTGTTTATTGGTAACCTTCCTATTTTCCAGATAAAACAATAATTAACATTTTCTTTGCGATAGATTCGTGATTAAAGGCCCACGGGGGATCAACTTCCCATTCTCTTTTAGTTATCCAAGGGGAGGAACAGCCCTGGAAAATTAGAATCGAATTTTACCTTTCAACACTAAAAACTGTTAGTTCTTTGAGAAAATCTATAGCATCAGTTGGAATCTGTCTTAACCCTGGTTCCTTCAGATATATTTCAGTTATATATCCCTCAACTCCTGAAATATATTTCAGTTATATATCCCTCCACTCCTGAAATATATTTTAGTTATATATCCCTCCACTCCTGAAATATATTTTAGTTATGTATCCCTCAACTCCTGAAATATATTTCAGTCAACTCCTGAAATATATTTCAGTTATATATCCCTCCACTCCTGAAATATATTTTAGTTATATATCCCTCCACTCCTGAAATATATTTTAGTTATGTATCCCTCAACTCCTGAAATTTATTTCAGCTATATATCCCTCAACTCCTGAAATATATTTCAGTTATATATCCCTCAACTTCTAAAATAAATTTGAGTTATATATCCTTCAACTCCTAAAATATATTTCAGTTATATATATCCCTCAATTCCTGAAATATATTTGAAACATAACAGTTAGTTATAAATCTCACCATATTTGGATATATTTCAGTTTATATCCCTATTTATTCTAAATATTTTCTTTTCTAACACTTTGTCAACAACACTAATCAGAATAAATCAGTTTTATTTTGGCATGAAAATGTAAGAAAACAATTTACTATTCAATTTGTTTTAAGATTTGTCAAAAAACATTTTCTGAACATTATCATCCTAACTTTGATAAAATAAAAGTTTTTCTTAAAAGTTGTTTTAATTCTTTTCAGAATTAATTTTGAATTGTCTAGGAAAAGGAATTGCAATTTTCAAATAGAAAAAAATGATTAAAAAATGGACAAATCATCTTCACTTTTACTGATTGGTGAAAAGAAGGTAGAATCAATCTTATGACCCCCTCCAGTTATAACAGTGGTGATTCACAATCATACCCATTAAATCTTTTTCTAAGTAAAATTAAAGAAGAAATCGACGCTTGTCTATCTTATAAAGTGTGAGTTTTGCAATTGAAAAACATTCTTGATCTACAAAGGTTTAAAGAGTACAATTGTGAATTGAACATGCTTATAAATTGAAAGTTACTTAGAATAACGTTGATAAGTTAAATTACCTGCAAAAGCATTTCTGTCAATAGTCTGTATTCGATTATTCTCCAGAAATAATCTGTTCACCTTCACTGAACCTTAACATCAGAGTAGAGAAGATTTTAAATTGAAATTCTAATCCTAGTTTAAAAGGACCGTTCACTTATTTGGGTAATTTCAGAGTAACATAAACAGCCTTATTCGCTGTTGATTGGTATTAGGTTGGTACTTTTCACAGAGAACTGTGGCCGGAGAAAAAGCCGGTTTTTTGTTCAGAATTTTAGCGCAAAAGTATGGTACCTTTGTCAGTCGACGTTTTTCATCAACAGAAGGCTCACAACATATTGATAAAAACATCAAATAGCGTATATTGATTTAGTGGCAAAAAAAACCAATTCCTTTCTGCTACACCCGGTTTTAGGACCGATATATTTTAGGAAAGATTAATCTGTTGGAGTTTTTCTTTCATAATTCAATGTTTGATAATTATGTTTGATTGATTAATCTATCATCAGACTGATAATCTCCTTTATACATATAACTCGGATTAAGCCTACTTTATCTGTAGAAACTAAAACTCAAACTTTGTCAAACTTTGTCAAGAGAGAATCTTCAATCTAAAGCTAGGCAACGATCTGTTAACAGCGATAGCTAAAAACATATTTATGGACAATTCCGTTAACAAACGACTACCCATAAATTTTAAAATCGTTTTCGAACACAATGAACCCCATAGATGAAAAAACGGTAAATGAGGAATATTATTACCAAAAGCTCGTGAGAGTAAATTAACGGAACATTATTACCTAAAGCTCGTGAGGGTAAATTAACGGAATATTATTCACTAAAGCTCGTGAGGGTAAATTAACGGAATATTATTACCTAAAGCTTGTGAGGGTAAATTAAAGGAATATTATTACCTAAAGCTCGTGAGGGTAAATGAGGAATATTATTACCTAAAGCTCGTGAGGGTAAATTAACGGAATATTATTCACTAAAGCTCGTGAGGGTAAATTAACGGAATATTATTACCTAAAGCTCGTGAGGGTAAATGAGGAATATTATTACCTAAAGCTCTTGAGGGTAAATTAAAGGAATATTATTACCTAAAGCTTATGAGGGTAAATTAAAGGAATATTATTACCCAAAGCTCGTGAGGGTAAATTAAAGGAATATTATTACCTAAAGCTTGTGAGGGTAAATTAAAGGAATATTATTACCCAAAGCTCGTGAGGGTAAATTAAAGGAATATTATTACCTAAAGCTTGTGAGGGTAAATTAAAGGAATATTATTACCCAAAGCTTGTGAGGGTAAATGAGGAATATTATTACCGAAAGCTCGTGAGGGTAAATGAGGAATATTATTACCTAAAGCTCGTGAGGGTAAATTAAAGGAATATTATTACCTAAAGCTTGTGAGGGTAAATTAAAGGAATATTATTACCTAAAGCTCGTGAGGGTAAATGAGGAATATTATTATTTTCTAGAATTAGAACATCAACTCTATCCACAACATTCCTAAAATATTCATTTCAAACTAATCAGAATTTTGGAATGTTTTTGAAATCTCTAACTTCTAATCTAAATTTGCGTGCTCATTGTTAATCTCAAGAAAAGAGAGAAATAAAAATAAAATATTAATTCAAGAAATGTAAGGAACTTGTTAGCAAAAATAAGGAAAAAAAACGTGAACTTCTTTTTTCTGAAAAATAAAATGATTTAAAACCTGATATTCATCATTGCTTCAAGAATCCTGGACATCATACTATTGACACATCTAAATATTATTACTTAATTATTATTATTATCATTATTATTATTGTTATTATTATTATTATTATTATTAACGTACCTGACTTGAATGCTCGGACCTCTTGTCCTACACTGACAAGGTGCTATATCATCAGGAGGAGGACATCTTCCTCTCACAACAACAATAACAACAAACAACAACAACAACGCTGTAGATAATATTGTAATGTAATCAAAGCTCCAAACAGTTTTCAGACCTCAGATATAAGTTTGCATTGTTATTGCATGAAATGGGGTTATTTGAAAAATTCAAAGACACCGAATGCCCCTCTAACCCTATAGTAATAGTAAATTCAACCTAATGTCTGACCGCGTCAACCTTGTTGCACCGGCTAGTCCTATTGAGTGTTTGCTTTATTCACCCAATGTCCGGGCGATACAGTACAAACTGGGAGCGGAAAGGTTGACCCGGCTCGGAAATTCAAATGTATTATGGCTGCAGCCCGTGACCGGATACAAAACTAAAATTAGAAAATGTAACTTTACATCAACAACCTTCAGTCTTTGATGCTTTTACAAAGTAAATATTTGTGTCTAGCAAAGCTCTATCTTTCTAGAAACTAAAGTGCAGGCAAAGGATATTTTTAACAGAATGTTTTCAAACATTTACTCAGGAATAAAATAAGAACAAACTCAGAGATCTGAGTTGTGTATATATTCCTTCCAGACACTGTAGTTCACTTTTATAATAAAGACGATCTGGAGCTTCTTGTGTTAATTTCTTTTTAGTTTTTACAGGGTTTATATTGGTACCTAATTTCAAGTCACTCTCAATCAATTTACAACTATTTTTAATCAGTCTTTTTTCGGCTAAACAACGAACGAGTTAGATATGGTCGTTTTTCTCTTTTAAAATCTGTACATATCCTTAACTGTCTCTGCTATATAAATCCGCCAGTCACTTTTACAGAGATCCGCAGTTGAAAATTATCAGTTTTGGGTAACTCAATCATATTGGTTCAGACGAAGGATGAAATGGTACCGTTGTGAATTGTATATGAAATTACGCCTTTGTCCTTATAATAAATATATTTGGTGTACAAATTATTGAAAAGTGATGGATATGATGGTATTTTCAGTTAAAAATACTATATATTAGTTAATTACTTGGCTAACTATATACAGTAAGTTTTGTCACAAAACATTTGTACAGAAAACAATTATTGCTATTTAGGGGTCACAGAATACAAACAGAACATACAATGAGAACTTGCAAACTGTGGAATTGAAGACGACTTTTAGACCCAAGTTATGATTTTACTTAGTTTCCAAAGAAGCAAAGCCAGTTGGGCAGTGTAAACAGACCTATTTGGCAAGTGATTTATTATTTTATAGAGTGATGACCAGAAAACTCTGGAATAGTAATTCGACTTTTACCTCAATTTATGACTTTTAATAGTCTAATTCACATTAAGCACAGTATTTGTGCAGTGTAAACAGACCCATTTCACTAAATAGGTGATTTAATAACTTACTAATTAAGCTATTTGCTTTGTAACAACATCAAATGCTCTTCAGTATTGCTTGAATGTCGTCTTCCTATTACATAGGTTTCTGGTCTCTGATATATAATTTCAGCAAACAGGGAGACATTTACGTGGTAGTGTATGTGATATTGTACATGTACATAATAATTTCGTGATAGTGTACGTGGTAGATTACGTGATAGTTTACGTGATAGTTTACGTGATAGTTTATGAGATAGTTTACGTGATAGTTTACGTAATATATTACGTGATAGTTAACGTGATAGTTTACGGGATAGTTTACGTGATAGTTTATGTGATCGTGTACGTGATAGTTTATGTAATCGTGTACGTGATAGTTTACGTGATAGTTTACTTTACCAAACAAGGTTTTCTAAGCACTTTATGAAAGAGAAAAACGTCTTTTAAAGAGAATGATGGAGGAATATTTTTCAACGAATTCTCAAGATTTATTTTCATCATTTTAAAAAGAATCTTTCAAGTGGAAAAAATGTTGTCTGATAAAGTTTACATTCATTCTTTGAATATAAGAGAAGTGTTTTATTTCTTGCTTGCAAGATTTCTTTTGTTTGAACAAAAAAATTCCCGTACAACATGTGCAGATTTTTTTGCTCAATATTTGCCAATAGTTTTGCAAATCTTAAAACTTTGAACAGTTTGATTTATCTTTGAAAAAATTTCAATATTTCCCTGGATTCTTCATTTTCATTCTTTTTTCTTCTCTTGTTTATCCCACTTCATACATACTGTCTAAACAAAAACAAGTTTGTAAATAAAAAATGAAGATTAAAAAGCATGATTTGTCAAAACCTTTAATTTTATAATCCTTATATATTTGCAACCTGTTGACGTAAACCTTTGATATTTAAAGATTTTTTTATCGATTAAAGTTCATTTTTAGATCTACGACATTGTCATGCAAAGATATAAGGATTAACGGTCAGAATTTGTGACAAACTTATTACTTATGAAAAATTCAAAAAGTTCATAAAACATGAAAAAAATATTTTTTATTTTTTTAAACAAAGTTTTCTGAAATATTTTTCTAGTTTCAGATTAAGAATCTTGCCCATTATGTTAAAGTTTAATTTTTCACCTTGAGTCTTTGCTACTAACTCTGATTTTCTAATCCCTAAATCTTTGCAAACCCATGTCGTAGAAATTAAAAATTGACATGAAAAATTAACACCATTAGGTTAAAAATTAGAAAATGTGAGTTTTTGGCAAAATCTTGCTGTTCCTAAATGATAAGAATGATCAGCATATAAGAATTTGATTGCTAAATCTTCTTTGAAAAAAAACTGAAATGTAGAAACCGATCTTTTTTATATTTTAGAAAAGGATATTGCAGAAGTATTTTAAAATTTTTGTGCTTTTGGAAGCACTCTCCTTCGAAGTATAACCATTGTTTATTAAATGAATTTAGATGAATAAAAGGAAAACTAGAACTAGGAAAATGGTGAGAGTTCAAACATCTGGTGAACAGGGCAAGAAATACAACACATAATTTAGGTTTTAAAAGATTTAAAAGTTTAAATGAAAATTCATGTTATGAGATGGAACTACTAAATTAACTCAACTCCTAATGTTTTAAATTGTATACTTTTGAACCTTTTCTTGAGACTCTCGAGAAAATTTCTTTTATAAATCAAATCATTTAAATTTTTGAAAATGTCTAGAAGAGAAATGGATGTAAACCTGGGGTGTACTGTATGAGGCGTTCAATTATTTTCTGTTCTAAACTTTTTTAATTTAACGCAATATCTGTCTTGTAAATCAATAGAGAAATTATCAAAATTAAACACTTTTCGAGTACAGAAAATGAAAAACGACGTTATCCTCCACATTTGACCAGATTAAGGGTTCAAGGGTACCGTTGTAAATCGGGCATTGCCATCTTTTCATGGAGTGTCACTGTGAATGATATCTTTAATCTTAAACCTGTTCTATAAATATTTATAGTCATACGAATTCAAAAAGCTTTTATAAATAGTGTAAAGCAATAGCAATGATTGATTTATAATTATTTGGAAAAGAATACTAATTACAGAATAATAATTTCACATGGTTATGGTCTGTTAAGCATAGAGGGCAACTTTACTCCTATATAGATAGTTTTTCATTCATTTACTAATTCTAAACAAAGATGGTAGAACTTATGCTTGATCCAACGTGATTTATAAATAAACAAATCTACACGAAACAATTGTTAAGAACATTATACCGGTGGTTGAAAGGTTTAAAGTTTCTAAACCTCTATTCAGCTCGAAGCCGTGACAAAATTCTTGAATATACTTGTTCCACAATCCTTTCCGCGGCAATTATCCGCACGCTGCGCTCAGTTTTCCCGCCTTTTATTGAGCAGCAGGGCGGGGCCTGTACACTGCTTGGTTGATTTTAAATGGTAATTAGATCCCCGCGTGCCAGAATTGGATTCGCTAGGGTGGAAGTGAAGGACAAGAAACTATAAAGATAAGATCAGGTGGAAGATGTACTTGTTGTACCGTATCCTCTACAGGATGGCAGGGCGGGGGTTCAGGAGAATCCTGAAGGTCAAAGGGATTGTTTCCTCATTTAAAAATAACCTAATTTTCGAATTTCGGATTACATTAGCTCATAGACGATATTGAGACCCTGCATTCTCAATATTCTCTGTTAAATATAAAAAAAAAACCTGGATTTACAGTGAATTTCGCGCATATTTGTATATTTGTAATACCTTACATAGGATGGACTAAGAAAATAGAAATGGATTGAATTCCATTTCATTTTAAGTCTTGCTTTACAATTCCCACGGTTAACATTTTTTTTACCATTTGATCGCAGATTTCAATGATCTATCTACAAAAAGTTAATACTACCTATATGCGTATTCAAAATTCAAAAGCGCTATGTAACTTTCGAAAAAAATAGATATTTCTGGGCCTTAGGAACATCTTTGAGTTGTTATAGGATGGACTCAATTGTATTTCTACTCCCTAAACTTAAAGATGGCAATTTTTAACAAAAGCTCCAATATTTTGAATGGCTCTCATAAATTAACAAAAAGTTGCAAGAAACTCAATATTTGATCAAATAAAGATTCTTACAAGAACAAATATTACATTTGTATTTGCTCTCAACAATAAGAATTGTGGACTTTTGGAAAATCACATCAAAAACTTGTTTCATGAATCATGATTATGCAGGTGATTTGATTTGTTTTCTTCTTCCTGTTTTACGGGGGGGGGGGGGATAAGGTTTCATGGCAATACATCTAAATAATAACAGGAGATAAATTAAAAACATAACTATCAAAATTGCAGAGAGAATCTTTAATTCAACTGTTTTTCAATTTGGTCGAAGAGTAAGTTTTGGGGGTTAGGTTAGGTTTTGTCTCAGTTCACTAGACCTGAGAGGAAATGTGTTTCAATTTTACCTAGAGTTTCCTCAAGGGTTACAGTTGAGTACATCTGACATTTTTACTCCAAGTTGGATAGATTTCTGATTACAAACAATTTCACTATCACTTTATAGCATTGCAGACCATTCTTCTCATAATTTCACTGAAAGGAATTGAGTTTTTGCCACGAGCTCAAATTTTCTAATCTCTATATCTTTACAACCTAATGGCGCACACCTTTGATATTTCAAATTTAGATTATTTGGTCTAACATAATTCATAGTTTGAAATATCAAGGGTCTACGACATTGGGTTGCAAGGATATTGGGATCAGAAAATCAGAGTTTGTGGCAACGACTCAATTCCTTTTGAAAGCTATGAAAATGTTAAATAAGCTTTTCAGACAGCATTGGCCTTTGGATTTATCATAAAATTTCACTTATACTTTTTGTAGTGTTAGAACTTTATCATAACCGTGATACACCTATTTTTAGTTTCAATTTTGGAGAAGAATTTGGAAAAATCGATCACGATTTTGTTTTTTTTTAGATAAAAATTAATGAATAAATAATTGTTGAGTTAGAAACTATGTTATTGTTAAAATAAACCACCCAACGCATTACAAACTCTTTTGAAAATAATTTTAAAATTCACAAAATGTTTAAATTATGGGAATATATAGTAATAAATTAAGAAAACGTCGCTCAAAAAAAATCCGAATTTTGAGTCTCTGCTTTAAGCTTAATTTTCTCATCCCAGTACTATTACAATCTGATCATTATGGTTAAATCTTTGATATTTCAAAATTGGATTTTTGATCTAACAAAATTCATAGTTTAAAAACATTAGTTGCAAAGATATTTTGGAATTAAAAATTTGAGTTTGTGGCAAAGACTCAATTTTTTTTGTTACTTTTTTATGTCCATATTTTATCTATTTATTCCCGTATTGTAGAAACATTTTTTACTATTCCTATAGAGCTAGGGTTTAAAGTTTATGTTTCTAGGATTTTCCAATTTATATTTGCATTGGCTTTTTCAAAATATTAATTGCTTTACCAAATGAGATATTTATTTGACACTTACTTTTTTTACAGAAATTATTTTTTTACAGGGTTAGCAAAAATAAATAATTTTATTTAAAAAGAGATATTTTTGTGCTGACTAGAACGTTAAATATCCAGTTAAAGCTAGTCTAGCTGGTAACGTAAAAAATTCGATTTTTTTAAATAAAGGAATTGAGTCTTTGCTACAAACTCTGATTTTCTAATCACTATATCTTTTGAACCAAATGGTGTAGACCTTAGATATTTCAAAATATGAATTCTGTTTAATCAAATAACCTGAGTTTGAAATATCAAAGGTTAACAACATCGGGTTCTAAAGATATTGATGTTTAAATAATTGATTTTGTTCCAAAGACTCATTTCATTTGGTCCATAAACACCAATTATAGTATACTTTCTTTTTCATTTCAATCAAATACTTTAAATTACGATTTAATCAAATTACTATTCCATTACAAATTGTGCAAAGGAAATGAGTCTTTGGAACAAAATCAAATATTTAAACCTCAATATCTTTGGAACCAGATGTTGTAAACCTTTGATATTTCAAACTCAGATTATTTGATTTAACAGAATTCATAGTTTGAAATATCTAAGGTCTGCAACATTTGGTTCCTAAGATATAGTGATTAGAAAATCAGAGTTTGTGGCAAAGACTCAATTCCTTTCTGATGTAAAAAAGCATTCTAACTGATTTTTCTAGCGTTTAAGCGCTTGCGAATAAAAACGACTGCAGCCGACAAAATTTAGAGTGCCTCGCTTTTTGAATATTTTCATGTCGGCATCTCTCATGAAATGTCAGATTATGGGTTTAAACATTCTGCTGTGAATCTGATAAGTCACTCTTTCAGTAGTTACATCGACATGTTCCTTTCTTAAAACATTATATTTTTTTTTGTGAAAGATCGTCAATCTTGGGCTTGATATCCAATATGGATACTTTATAAAACTAGGAATTGAATCTTTGATACAAACTCAAATTTTCTAATCCCTATATCTGTGCAACCTGATAATGTAAACCTTAGAACTTTGATTCTTTGATTTAACAGAATTCAAGGTTTGACATATCTAAGGTAGCATTAGGTAGCAACAATATAGAGATTAGAAAATCTGAGTCTCTTCTAGGAAAATTGCTTGAACCCTTTATGTTGGAAAACACTGCAGGGTTCGATCACCACGGAATTAAATAAATCAGCAATTTCTATTTTTGAATCAGTAAGTTTGATTTCTAAACGACTGAACATTATTTTTAAAAAAAATTATTGCCAAAACTTGTTAACTCTAAAAATTCTTAATAAAAAGTGTAAAGTCACGATGGTAAAATTGTTTCCTTGAATATTCTGATAACTCTGGAATATAAACTTTAATATTTTCACTTGTTCGAAATATCTAGTTCACTGTAAAGTCTCTCTACGACTGTCACGGTGAGGTGACACCTTCTAGCGTTAAAATCCCTGTATCCACCCCCCCTCCTCCCCGCCACTTCCCCCTTCCTTTCGTCATTGAGAAATGATTAAACAGGAAACCGGGGTCTATGTAAAATTATACATTTTATGCTACAATACAAGTACAGCTTTGTGACCTCCTTCAAATTTTATTTTACGCACAAGTATGAATTTCACAAATGTATCTGGTGACATAATAGAAATCCAAAACATTTGTGTTCTTGTCGATACATCTCCAGTAAAAGGAGTTGAGGTTAAAAACGTTAATGATTTCAATCATACGTGTAATTTGGTAAATTTGATAATACTTTAAATATTTTACTTTAAAAGAATAATTTTAATTTTATCAGATTAAAGGAAAACTATTTAGATTTCGTTGAACGCAATATTTTTTCATTGAATTTAGAAACTTTATTCCATGTGGCTCTTCATGTAACGATTGCAATGTCCGATTCACAAACCTACCTTTAAAAATGTTATCTGATTAAAAATGTGGAAGATATTGTTGTTTTTCTAGGTTTAAAACCGTTATCTGATTAAAAATGTTTTTCTAGGTTTAAATTGATTAATTCTAACACTTATATTTTCCTGCAGTCACTTTTGGATAGAAGTCACAAAAGAAAATTATCCGTTTTAACAATTATAAACATTGATATTTTATTTATATTTGATCTGAAAATGGTTTAAAGGGTACCGTTGTGAATCTTTGCATGTAGGGAAACTAAATATTAAGAGCTTACTGTTCCTTTCAACAGAACTTTTGATAAAAATGAATATATTTCTTGGTTTTAATTCATCAAAATCCTTTTCATTCCCGATCCTGATCGCAAATAAAGTCAATTATACAGTAAACTATTAAAAAAGATTTGGAATTATAATATATTTGATAAGACCATAAGAAATATTAGATCATTTTTTAAGTCATTGATTTTTGACAAGAGTACGTATCAGATTGTCTGGGTTGATTTATTCTAAAGGAATTGAGTTTTTGCCACACACTCCAGTTATCTAAAACCTATATCTAAGAAACTTGATGGTATAAACCTTTGATATTTCAAACTTGTATTATTTTATTTAACAGAATTAATAGTTTGAAATATCAACCGTATGCGACATTGGGTTCAAAAGATATAGGGATTAGAAAATCAGAGTTTGTGGCAAAGACTCAATTCCTTTTCCTTCTATTTGGGATTTATACTAATTCAAATGTTTCCTTTGAATTGATGTGTTTGATGCTGATGCCTTCACTTCAAAGGAATTGAGTCTGAGCCACAAACTCAAATTTTCTAATCCGTATTTCTTTGCATTCCTATTTGTGTAAACCTTTGATATTTTAAACTTGAATAAATAGAATTCATAGTTTGAAATAAGGTCATGTTTCAAAGATATCAGAATTAGCAAATCAGAGAATTTGTGGCAAAGACTCAATTTTTTTACATTTCTCTGCAGAAATCAGAACAGAATTTTTATCTTGATTAATAGATTTTTTTAAGTAAGCTTGGGGCATCTATCAAACATTATTAAATAACAAAAAATAAAAAGAATATCCTGTGTTTAAATATGTATTTGGTATTTTTTCATCTTCCAATCATGGTATAATTTAATAATCTTTGACACAAGCCAAATATATGAGTCTTTAGACAGCAAATCAGCCATTATCAATTTCTTTTCTAAATTTTAACTTTATAGTAAATTAAAGGTTTTTCATTTCCACACAAATCCCTAGATTCTAATCTTAAACACGTTTTAGAACATAAACCAATTTTTGAAAAAATCCATAACTTTTGAATAATTAATCTGAATATAATTGCTATACTATGGTGACAATAATTTCAAACCTCTCTATAAATAATAAATAAACAAGATCACAATATATTTGGTTTTAATTACATACATATACAATATTTTTTCATATATATCTTTTATATTATTTTTGTACAACAGATCTATAACAAAACATCTCTATTTCATATACATAGGTTAATTTATTGATATGCCTTTTTTTACTTTGAGAAAGATTTGGTGGACAAGATTTATAATATTTTTTGCTTTCAACTCAATTCACATTGGTTGGTAAAGCCATAAATTAATAGACAGTAGAACACAGATAGAACAGTAGATGTCGTCTTTTCAAGATGTAGGGGTTTTTCATTCACAATATCCCTGAGACAGAAGTCCGAAGGAGTATCCGCGCAAGCAGCACATGTTCTCTCTCTGTCTTGTAATTCAACGCTGCCTGGGTTATTGTTAAAGAAAAACCCCTAAATCTTGAAAAGACGACATCTAGTGTTCCATCTGTATTGTTATTAATCTATGAGTAATACTATTTATTTAAAGATTCAACTCATTTCTAAGAGTTTCAGAAATTAAGATATGTAACATTTATGAGATCAGTTTCTTAAAACAGGTAAAGTATTATTGATGATTTTATATAATTGAAACAACAGCACAGTCAGCAATCATATACATGAATCAACAATCAACAAACATTTGTGAGCCTTTTGCTCAACATGTGTACTTCAGTTTCGGGTAGGAATATAGACTAACTTTTTTAACACGTTTTTATAGAAACAAGACAAAATACATTTAGTTTTTGAAACTAACGCTGAGGACATATTTTTTGTTTATGTAGAAGGAGAGATGTAAAGTCTTTTAGTTTTCGTTCTTTTTTATATAAGAAAGATTATACTAATAAAGGAATAGTTACTTTTTTAACATTTACAATGATAACACAACGCTCAACTAAACTTTTGGTGTGTACTGCAGTGCTTTGCAGTAAACTGACCGAAGACATAGTGGGTTTTTAGTGGAGAGTAGCACTTGACTAAATATGTACATTATTAGTTCTAAAACCATGGTACCAGTACAAACGTCGGACCCACAAACGTCGAACGGTACAAACATAAGACTTACAAACGTCGGACAGTACAAACGTCGGTCCAGTACAAACGTCGGACCAGTACAAACATCGGAACAGTACAAACGTCAGACTGGTAAAAACGTCGGACGGGTACATTTATAAGGAAAAACGTCGGACTAAGGAGGAAAAAATATAAATGAATTTTTAGACTAAAATTCTTGTAAATTCGCAATTTTCTCTCAAAAAAATTCCCAATTTTTTTTGTTAAAAATTCTTAATCTCACAAATTCTGGATACATGGACGAGGAGACTGCTAACTATGTTGAGGTCAAGCAGTGGGGACGCCACCTACTTGATTCAAATCAGTTTGAATACAGGGTTACAAAGAAGAAACCCAACAAAACCTATTACCAATGCATTCAAAGGAAAAACAATTCTTGTCCTGCAGGAGCAGTTGTAAACAATGAGAATGACAAGAATATCAGTTTCCTGGGAGAGCATACACATGACAGTGATCTTTTGAAGAAACGAGTACGTGAAATAGGAAAACAAGTAGTTAAAGAAAGCTCTGGAAATAAAGCAATAAGTCCATGAACTGTTCGTGGAAACATCTAACATCGGGTTGCAAAGATATAGGGATTAAACTGTATGATCTTGTAGAATTCATAGTTTGAAAATTTTTAAAACAATGGTCCATTCAAAATCTACCAAGTCCGACGTTTTTTCTTATAAATGTACCCGTCCGACGTTTGTAATGGTCTGACGTTTGTACCAGTCTGACGTTTGTACTAGTCTGACGTTTGTACTAGTCTGACGTTTGTACTAGTCCGACGTTTGTACTAGTCTGACGTTTGTACTAGTCTGACGTTTGTACTAGTCCGACGTTTGTACTGGTCCGACGTTTGTACCAGTCTGACGTTTGTACCAGTCTGACGTTTGTACTAGTCTGACGTTTGTACTAGTCTGACGTTTGTACTAGTCCGACGTTTGTAATGGTCTGACGTTTGTACCAGTCTGACGTTTGTACCAGTCTGACGTTTGTACTAGTCTGACGTTTGTACTAGTCTGACGTTTGTACTAGTCCGACGTTTGTACTGGTCCGACGTTTGTGCGTCCGACGTTTGTACTAGTCCGACGTTTGTACTGGTCCGACGTTTGCACCAGTCTGACGTTTGTACTAGTCTGACGTTTGTACTAGTCCGACGTTTGTACCAGTCTGACGTTTGTACTAGTCTGACGTTTGTACTAGTCCTATGTTTGTACCAGTCTGACGTTTGTACTAGTCTGACGTTTGTACTAGTCTGACGTTTGTCTTAGTCTGACGTTTGTACTAGTCTGACGTTTGTACCAGTCTGACGTTTGTACTAGTCTGACGTTTGTACTAGTCCGACGTTTGTACTGGTCCGACGTTTTGGCGTCCGACGTTTGTGCGTCAGACGTTTGTACTGGTACCAAAACCATCTTTGTAACATTGAGGTGGGATTTAGTCGGAAAGAGTAGATTAAGATATTATGAAAAGTAACTGAACACTCTTCATAAGCTCTAATCTCTGTATTCTTTGCATTCTTATCCTGTAAACCTTAGATACATAAAACTTAGACTATTTGACCTAACACAATTGACCATTTAATTTGAGCATTTGAGATCTTGTATGGAGGTGGAAGGTGTTTGTGGGGGGGGGGAGAGGCAATCCATTTTACAATTTCTCTCTTTTTTTTAAATAAACTTAAGGATTTCAAAAATGTTTTACGTAAGAAAGTGTTTTCGAAAAAAATAGCTGCACGTTAATCCCTTTTATGCGTATTAACAGGAATTAAATTAACATCTGAGGTGTAAAAAGATACTAAAGTTTTAAATAAAAAATATTAATTAAAAAGGCTGTATAGATAATAAACGTAGTTTCAAGTCCCGCTCAAAATACTAGAGTGACCATACCGTATCACAAATACTAGAGTGACCATACCGTATCACAAATATACTCTTTAAACCTTTGTCTGGATGACTTAGATATATTTGGTTAAATTGCAAAGGAATTGAGTTTTTGCCACAAACTCTGATTTTCTGATTTCAATATCGCTGCAACCCAATGAATGCTGTTAGATCAAATAATGTGAGTTGGAAATATCAATAGTTTATATCATCAGGTTACAAAGATATAGAGATTACAAAAATTAAATTTGTGGCAAAGACTCAAATCCTTTATTTTCTAAATTTGAATGTAAATCCCTGAAAAGAAATATAATAATATTATTTGAAAATGTAAATGAGTACTTGTTCTCTGTATTCCTTGATCCGACAATGGTTTAATGGTACTGTTGTGGATAGGACAAATACTGGAAAGTAATTTCTGTCCATTTCATGACGAGAACTTTCGGAATGTTTTATATGTAACAAATTAATTTATCTTTTTTTGTTTTATGAAAGGATGGAAAATCTTGATTGTTCTTTCTTCATTTTTTCTTGGTTTAGAATCCTGTATCGTTGATCTGGATAGTTGACCAGTGACACAGTCTACCTAAGCATATATATTTCACGTTAAACTAAAGTAAATTTCACGTAAAATTAAAATATTATATGTTATCAATCATAACTTGTCTTTTTAAAGAGCTATTAAGAAGAGCAAAAATGTTTTAAGTTTCTAATATGTAACCAAATTTGTTCTTCTCATACTTTTATGCATAAAATTGAAACTAAGAGTAACTCCCGGGTCACAAAATCATTTAATATTGTTTAATTTAATAATTAAACCAAATCGGGACTTTTTAATGGGGTAGCACAAGATAAAATTCCAATATATTGGTCAATCTTAATAGTTTCAGAAAAACGTATGAGAGTAGGATTAAAATTTGAATGTTCCTTGAAAAACCATCGAGCCTCCATTTTGAAAATTAGTTTTTTAAACTAATTAGGTTGCAAAACCATCTAAAAGAAAAAAAACCAGTTAAACAATCTGCACCAATATTTAGTGCAATTACTTTAAACTTCACATTAAATGAATTGAGCCTTTGCCACGAAATCAGGTTTTCTAATCCCTGTATCTTTCCAACCCGATGTTGTAGACTTTAGATATTTTAAATATTTATGAATTCTGTTAGATTAATAAATCTAAGGTTGAAATATCAGAGGTAAACACTATTAGGTTGCAAAGATATAGGGGTAACAAAAATTGGCTTGGTGGCAAAGGCTCATTTCCTTTGTGTCTAGTCGTATTTTCTACCTGGATTGATATCTGAATGAGAAAGCCTTCCTTCACTGTAAGTCTGCGTCTCATCTCCAGCTAGGAGAACAGCTGTGCTGGTCAGCACCTGGGACCGAGTCAGCTGGGTCTCTGTCAGAGATTTAGCTCCCCTAGTGGTTATAAATACATTTTAAAAATTTTACCAATTTGAAAAAAATACGGATTACTCGTTCTTTAACCTCTTATTTACTCTAGTCCTTAAAAAATAACATTTTGATTAATGTAGCCTTCGAAATTTCAAAGTATAAATTCTGCCAAATTCTTTAACAATATCAAAGCTTTAGAATAAAACATCAAGTTGCAAAGATATTGGAATTAGAATATTAGATTTTTAAACAAGTGATTTTCAAGACAAGACTTGGACACTAAGTTTATGTGCAAAATTTAAATCAAACCAGGTTAAAATATTTCAGAGAATTCTTTTGAATCTTGTAAAATGAAAAGGTTTCCATTTCCCAAACATTTTCTGACACAGTTTTCAAAAGAAAATATTTTTTGATCACTTTTTCACACATGGAAATCCATTGAAAGAATTTTAACAATACAAAATTAATCCTTTAAGTAGATTAACTGAAGTCAGGACAAAATTACATTTAAATACATAATAACTGATAAGAGAAGATGTCTTACATTTTTTTTTGTTTTTTTTTGAAAGATTTGGCCTAGGCTGTTGAAATTTTCGAGTTCATCTTAAAAATAATTACTTTCCATACAAGCCTAAAATCCGACGATTTCAAAACCAATATTTAAAGTCCTACTGCCTAAATATTTGCTTTTGTCTATATAAAGCTAACTCTACCAATTGTTTGAAAAATGTAAATTGCAAACTTATTTGCACACTTTCCTACAAAGTGAATTTGCGCATTGTAATTTTATATTTCTTCGCATATTTGAAGTGGTATGGTCAAGTGCTTTATAATTTATCATGTTTTTTCTAAAACATTTATTTTAACAAATATTTTGCTGAAGAAATGGATTTCGCAAAAAAAAACCAATAGAATTTTGTGCATCTCTCGACTGTACAGGGTTTGATCTAGTACCTGGAGCTTTCAGTAGTTTCTTGAAACCTCAAGGTTTTCGGTCTCTCCTATGTTATTCTTTATTTAAACTAATACCTGGAGTTTTGAGTCGGTTCTTGAAACCTCAAGGTTTAGTTTCTTCTCAGTTCTTTTCTTTTTGAACAAGTACCTGGAGCTTTTAGTAGTTTCTTGAAATCTCAAGGTTTGGTCTCTCCTCTGTTATTTTTTATTCAAACTAATACCTGGAGCTTTGAGTAGGTTCTTCAAACCTCAAGGGTTGGTTTCTTCTCCGTTTTTCACTATTTTATCTAGTACCTGGAGCTTTTAGTAGGTTCTTGAAATTTCAAGGTTTGGATTCTTCTCCGTTCTTCTCTATTTGAATTTTACCTGGAGCTTTGAGTAGGTTCTTGAAACCTCAAGGGTTGGTTTCTTCTCCGTTCTTCACTATTTCATCTAGTACCTGGAGCTTTTAGTAGGTTCTTGAAATTTAAAGGTTTGGTTTCTTCTCCATTCTTCTCTATTCTTCTCTATTTGAGATTGTACCTGGAGATTTGAGTAGGTTCTTGAAACCTAAAGGTTTGATTTCTTCTCCGTTCTTCTCTATTTGAACTAGTTCTATCTCCACTATTGCTGGATTGTGAGCAGGGGAGTGCTTCTCTATCCTCTATATCAGATCGTCCCAAAGCTCTAAAAAAATGAAAAAAATAAGCATCAGTCCAAACAAAAAATGGCATGAGTTTAAATCTTGATTTACATTTTTTAAAATGTTTTAAACATACGTTTTCGGTGAATTTTTGTTATTTATAAATCATATTTTTATAATATTTGCTCTGAAACTGTTGTTTGAAGTGATCTATTAGTGGAATATTCGGTTGAAACATAAAAAAGAATTTAATAAAATTAGATTATTTAAAAAAAATCAAAGGTTTAGACTAACCTCAGGAGAATCTGATCCCTTTGATCCTTTGGAATCCAGTGCCTAGAATTAATCATTTTAAAATTTAAAAATAACCGTTTAAAAATCGGATCAAATTGTTCATTTTTAACAAATAGCATATTTAAACTACTTACACTAAGATTATAAGGAAACATTTTTTAGTTTCAACCAAAGTTTTGGTTATATAGACGTAAATAACTCTTAAATCAGTGAAAGAAAACATTATAGTAAGTAAAGGTAAACAATTGTGAGAAAGCTTAGCCAAGCCGGAATTTTCAGGAAAGTTTTAAGAAAGACTTGATTCAGAAAAATGTTCCAGAAGTCTAAAGAAAGTCTTGGTTCAGGAAAGAACGTGCCAGAAGTCTAAGGAAGTGTTTAGCTAAGGAAAGCATGTTCCAGAAGTCTAAAGAAAGGCTTGGTTCAGGAAAGAACGTGTCAGAAGTCTAAGGAAGGGTTTGGTTAAGAAAAGCATGTTCCAGAAGTCTAAAGAAAGGCTTGGTTCAGGAAAGAACATGTCAGAAGTCTAAGGAAGTGTTTAGCTAAGGAAAGCATGTTCCAGAAGTCTACAGAAAGGCTTGGTTCAGGAAAGAACGTGCCAGAAGTCTAAGGAAGGGTTTGGTTAAGAAAAGCATGTTCCAGAAATCTAAAGAAAGGCTTGGTTTAGGACAGAAGGTGCAAGAAGTCTTAGGAAGGGTTTAGTTAAAGAAAGAATGTTTCAGAAGTCTAAAGAAAGGTTTTGATCAGGAAAAAACGCCCCAGAAGTGTAAGGAAGGGGTTAAGGAAAGAGTGTTCCAGAAGTCTAAAGAAAGGTTTGGTTAAGGAAAGAGTGTTCCAGAAGTCTAAAGAAAGGCTTGGTTCAGGAAAGAACGTACCAGAAGTCTAAAGAAGGGTTTTGTTAAAGAAAGAATGTTTCAGAAGTCTAAAGAAGGGTTTGGTTAAGGAAAGAATATTCCAGAAGTCTAAAGAAGGGTTTAGTTAAGGAAAGAATGTTTCACAAGTCTAAAGAAATGTTTGGTTTTGTAAAGAAACTGTTTAAAAATCATCAGCCTTCAATAAACTCTCAGATTATGTAATAAATGTAATACTTAATGGATACATACGTACATATATAATATATATATATAAAATATACATATCAGCGAAGAGCTTAATTATAAAGATATAATATACACAATATAAATATGTAATAAATATTATATCAAGAATGCAGATATAACCAATAAAAATTGGATTGACTAATATTTTCAGATTTTAGATAAAATCCAAATCTCTACCTGGGTCTATCTATTCTCCTTCTGGAATCTAAGGATTTAGGTTGAGCACTGCAGATGAAGGTTCCTCTTCTGATATCTAGAAAATATTAATGTTTTTGGTTACAGTATATAAGGTGTTAAAGCAAGCAGAGATATAAGATGGGCTGAAAACCATAGATAAAGATAGATTGCGTGACATTTTTCATCTTGAAAGATATAAATGTACAGAGATGTTTAAAAGATATTCCTATTATATAGATTAACTAGGTCGGTTGTGAACAATATGTCTGTTCTTATGTCATTGAGTACTTGTGGTGTACATGAGTTCTGTAGAGAGAAATTTAAGTTAGTTTATTCCTTCTCATATCCTTCTTCAGTTCTCGTCAATACGATATATTGCTTAGTGAAATAAAATTCACTTCTGAGTGGTTTAATAATTATGAAATCCATTAAAACACCAAACCACCACGCTTATCAGAAGTACACTTTGACCCCTAGAAGTATGAGTTCGCGGACTGTACAATTCTTGGTGATTTTGCGTACATAAGCTATTTATGTTTATTTATTTTATGGTGAAAACGGAATACTATAAGAAGGAGAAAATATTTATTACCAACCAGTAATAATGTGTCATAATTTCAGAGTGCTAACGAAAACTTAACATTTTTTTTTCGAAAACATGAAAATTTTGAATAACTCTTTTCAATTTTTAGATATGTATTTAAAAAAGATTCTCGGACCTGATCAAAAGTACGTTAAAAATTCTGTTTAAAAGACTTTTTTCATTTTTTTATTTTTAACAAATGATAAATTTAATTAATTAGAATCTGCAAAAAAACTGAAAATTTACAAAAAATAAGATTTTTTTGCAAATCCAGCTATAAAGTAAAAAAGTTTACAAAAAAATGTCAAAAAAATGATAAAAGATACATTTTTGAAAAGCCCTTGACCATGACATTTCAAAAATTTTAAATAACCTGATGTGTAATTAAGAAAAACTAAAAATGTGCAAATTTCTTTTGACGGGTTTGTGCAAATAATTTGCAAAAATTTCTTCGCACAACTTAAGCAATCCTTTTCCTTATATCATAGACTTTCCAAAAAAAAAAAATTATCAAAATATGACAACTGAAAGTGGGTTAAAACAAAAATTTAGTTGTTACAGGAAAAAGTAGTCATTCAGGCAGTATCCTGAGGCTCAGGCATCTAGTAAAAAAGCCCGGTTTTAGACCTAAAGCGCGGGGTATGGGTATTTAGGATAATTCAGAAAATTTTATTCTGTTTCCGTTTATTAAAAAACTATAAGGGGGCGGGGGGACAAATTACCCCCCGCAGGAATAAGATTGACTGCATAAAGAAAAAGACAATTTTCTCGTGTATGGTATTTCGAAAAGAACAGAGCTACAAAAAAGGTTTTACTCATTCTTTAATTATAATCATTGCTTGTTTTACATACAATTTTTTATAAGGTATTCTCTATGTTGATCAATATTTTGACGCCTGAGTATTTTTTATTGTCTAAGACTTACTTGCATCTTGCATAAAGCCTAGACAGATGTCCACAAGTTTAAGTATTTTCTGTACCATTTTCATTGGTTAACATGAAACAAGTCCATTTATAACATCAAAGGAGAAATGAAATTCATAAAAAAACGTTTATAATTGAGTGTTTTGAATTGGATGAGTTCAGGTGGAATTATTTAATATTTTGTGACTGATCAAAGAGCAAAGAGTACTTAAAGGAGCATAGAATACAATGGAGTAATAGAGTAAATAAAAAGCAGTATGTAATACCATAGAGCAAAGAATACACATTAAGGAGTATGGAGTACCATAAAGCAAGAGTACATACTAAGGAGTATGGAATATCATAAAGCAAAGAGTAAATATTAAGGAACATGGAGTACCATAAAGCAAGAGTAAATACTATAAGGAATATAGAATACCATGGTGCAGGATAACATACTAAGGAGTATAGAATACCATGGAGCATGAGTGAATACTAAGGAGTATGAAATACCATGAATACCATTTTGCATCCCAAAATTAAGATGAATATAGAAGAAAAGGCTTTTCAGCCAAAACTGCATTGTATCATATTTGTTTCTGTTATTTTTCATTATTCATTTATAGCTTTTTTTTCTGGCAAACAACCTGAGATTAAGAAGTATCCCTTCAATTACACCCTCTCAAGATTTCCGTATAATTCTACTTTTTGGTTAAGATCTCATTGCATTCCCCCCA